CTGCGCTCCGCTAACTCCAACTTTTCTAAGGGACAAAGATACAATTGCCTCGACGAATGCCCGTCAGGGGTAGAATAGCTTCATATTTGCCAGACTGCGTATCGCGTTTGCGTATAGCCTTTGATTGCAGGTGTTGGTTGTTGACAGCGCTCTGCGGCGACAAGGTCAAGGGGGAACGGGGGAAGAGGGAGGGAATAGTGTCCTGTCCTTGAAGCACTTGGTGTTGGTAGTGCTCTCCTGCGCCTTCTTCCTGAAGATCTCGAGCGTCTTCCTCTTCTGGTTGTCCACGATCTCAGGAAACTCGTAGAACCTGCCCGCCGTCTGACTAGCCTTGGCGGTGTTCGTGACAGCATCGCTAAAGGCGGCGACGCCTGCCTTATGGGCCGCTGACAGCCGCCAGTTGTAGAGCGCCTTGAGCCTGCTTCAACTTTATCATTGTCGACGGAGGCACGGCGCGGTAACACTGTTGCTGGTTGCCTGAGCGCTGAGAACCTCAACATCAGCATTCTTGTCATTGAGGCAGGTGTTGGCAACTTGCACAACATCGACGAGATCTCCACCTGCCAATAACACAACACAAAGAGTTGTCAAAGTCTTGTTAATAGCCGCGTGACAATGTTTCTTATTACGTAGCCTCTATTACAACAGCCACAACAACGAAGTGTCACGTATGCGGCGCGGCTGATTGCCGGGCCATAATTTTAGAACGGACGATGCCAGAGTTACCAAAGTCTGGCAGGACGAACTGGTACAGATACTCGAAAGCGGCGCGGCCGTTTTCGATGAGGAACAGCCTGACGCCATCCTGGATGGCGGTGAGGCGTTAGGGTAACACTCCTAGCGCATGCTGTGATGATGCGGAACGCAAAGACTGAAGGGGTTTAGTCGGAGCGGAAAGTCTAGTCTTGGTAGATTCCGCCATCGAGGAAGGGAAAGATGTCATGGGACTAAACGGGGTAGACTACGCATCCTTCAAGCACGCCATCGCACGATATCGCCATGTGACCCGCTGAAGACGACACCGGTCTTATGCAGCTATATAGACAGATAGTTACTCGACGGATAAGATTGCTTAATATCCCGGGGCGGAGAGCGGGGCTTCAAGACATGTATGCGCATCAACTCCAACAAATATGTCACAACCTCACGAAAAAGCTCTCAAAAATGCCTTCGTCGGCGAAAGCGGAGGTGACATGCCGGTGGTGTTTGAAACACAATATCAAGAGTCAGATGGTCCAGCGTACACCGAGTCTAAGAGGACTTGGAGGTCATTTTTCTGGTCGAGTGAGCCTCCCAACGACACATTGGAAAGAAAGACGAATCGCTGACCTTTGTAGCGCTCGACGTCTCGGAGGAGGAAGCCCACTTCCTCACCAAGCTCGACTTGACGGTTATATCGGCGTCAGCTTTAGGCGTCATGTGCCGGTACCTCGATCAGGTCAACATCACCAACGCTTTTAGTATGTGCACGGCCGAATAATTCGAGTTTTTTTGCTGAGGCGTTCTACAGACAGTGGAATGAAGGAGGATCTGTCGCTTTACGGAAACGAGCTCAACTATGCCAACGCCATTTGGAGTGCAGCATATGTGTTTGGGCAGGTTCCTTCGAATCTGCTGCTTACCCGAGTAGGTCGCTGGGTTCCCCTCGCATGACCTAATTATTTGCTGAAAGGAACCCAGGTCAACGCCTCTCTTTACATTGCGTTTCTTGAGCTAAGCTGGAGTGTCTTCACCTTTGCCCACGCCGGTGTCAAGAACGTCAACCAGCTCTACGTCTTCCGCTTCTTGTGCGTCTAATGCTTCCCAATCTCATAGCTCCTGCGATCCCTAACTTTGTTGTAGCGTTGGCTTGTTTGAAGCCGGTCACTTCCCAGCGGTCATGTACATATGCTCGAGCTACTACAAACCTCACGAGCTGGCTCGACGCAATACCTTGATTCAGATTTTCACCTCGGTCGGGCCTCTCTTTTCAGGTTTCTTGATGGCGGCGGTGCATACCGGGCTGGACGGAGCCAACGGTCTGGCCGGGTGGCGGTGGATGTACATGTGCGTGCCTCTCACTACCTAAATCAGACGAGACGAAAGCTGACAAGAGCAGCGTCTGCGGTTGTATCTCGGTCCCTTGCGCCATCTGGACCGCCTTTGCAATGCCTCAGCTTCCTGCCCGAGCAAAGGCTAACTGGTTTGTCTGCTGGTTCTCGACATTCCAACATAATTAGCTGACTATTTTTGTAGGATCTTCACCGAGGAGGAAATCAAGTTGGCTCGCTCCAGGATGCCCTCTGAGGTCAAACCTCTAACCGGGCTGTTCAAGTGGAAGGATATTAAGCGCTGGCACACTACGTGGCACGTTTACCTCTGTAAGCACCCTGATCATGGCCGCTTGCATTCCTTAGATGCTGATAAATGGAAAGTTCCCCTGTTCTTTGCGTTCCTGTCTCAGTTTGGCCAGTCCGGAGGATCCAGTAAGCCGCTTGTAATATCTTTACGATACTCGGGCGACTAATTAACCGTCATAGTGATTTTCTGGGTCAAGAGCTACAATGTCAAGGGAAAGCCGCCTGTCTTTTCGGTCGCTGAGATTAACATCATTCCTCTTGGCGTGAGTTCTCCTCGTGTCAGGTCGAATAAGACCGAGCTAACTGTGTTTAGATAAACTTCATTACTATTTTCTGCACTCTTCTCAATGCATGGATTTCGGACAGCTTGCCCGGCTCGTCTAGGTGGCCTGGTATGGTGTTCGCGAGTGTGATGTCGATCATCTTTCCAATCGCCCTTGCTAGCACGCCTGTCCACCCTCCGAACATAGGAACTCGATGGACCCTTTATTGTACGCGCCCTCCAGTCAGCAGCTAAGGATGAACGCTGACTTTCTTCTCTCATCAGACCTCACCGCTCTCGCGGGAACAGCTGCCGGCATTACTTGGACCTGGGTGAACGAGGTGAACAGACATGATCCAGAAAAGCGGGCGTACATCTCTGCTTTGGTTAGTGCTCTTTCTTCTACCCCTTGCGAGCCGAGAGCTAATGGTCTCATTTAGATGAACGCGTTTGCATATATCTTCACCGCATGGGTTCCCATCTTCACCTTCCCAACTAACCTACAGCCGTACATCGTCACCGGTAACTACATCACCGCCGGGTTTGGGGCAGCGGCCGTAGTCACCGCTCTCGTCATCCGGTACCACTACAACCGGGATCTCAAGAGGCAGCATCAGCAGCGCTCAACATCGCCAGAAAACAGTGAAGCTCTGGAGTACAAGTGATTAGACAAACGTGTGTGGAGCATGAGCAGGCAATTCGACTGGTTGGGACACAATGTAACTGGCCTCCGTACCTGATCTAGACCACGGACGAGTCTCTACGACGCGCTGAAAGGAACGCATGCATTCTCGAGGGAGTACACGGAGCAGCTTGACCTTGCTTTGTGCCACGCAGGCTGTCTGGACTCGCTCATCTGCATGCCCCGGGACTTCTAGTAATTACCAGTTGCCCATTTTCTTCGAGTTCCGCCCCAATTGTCGTCACACCTTTGGAGTTTCTGCCCACGTGGACTGTCATTTCCACGCACTTCCGAGTTTGGACCGATTATTTCCATATGACAATTATTTAGAGCTAGGACGACGTTCCCCCTCTCCCCAACTCCGTATTGCTCAGACGCTTTGGTATCGATCTACCCTTGCAGATTGATAAAGCTAGCCGGCACTTTCCGACTGTGGTTCCATCAGGGTGCGGCAAATTCAGTAGATCGTGCCATTCCATTGGGTCCCCTCCTTCTAGGATGTCTGAATGCAGAGTGTGAATGTCGTGATGCGGACGTGGCAAATGAGTCTGGGGCAGTCCGCCTAGGAATCTAATTACCTGTCAGCATAGTATACTCTCCCTATACCGGCAGTACCGGCAGTACCGGCAGAATTCTCAGTACTGACAGTACTGGCAGAAGTCTCGTTACTGGCGGTACCTCCAAGTATTATCAGCAAGTTTCTCAGTATCGGCACAATTCTCAATACTGCCGATACCAGCAAGATTTTCAGTACCGACGGTACCGACATTACCGGCAATACCGGTGGTACTGGCAGGATTCTCAGTACCGACAGTACCGACAGTACCGGCAGTATCGACAGTATTCTCAGTACCGGCAGTATCGGTAGGATTGGCGGCATTTTTGGTACTGGCAATACCGGCAGGTTGCTTAGTATTGGCGGTACTGGCAGCCCCATTAGGATTCTCCGTATCGGCAGAATTCTCAGTACCGACGGTACCGGCAGTACTGGCATTATTAGCAGGATTCTCAGTATTGGCATAATTCTCAATACTAGCGGTACTGCTAGTACCGTTAGGATTCTCAATACCGGCGGTACCGGCAGTATAGGCGGTACCAGCAGTACCGTCGGTACCGGCAGCATTCTCAGTATCGACAATCATGTCATCATCGGCGGTACCTCTTGTATTAGCAACGCGTATCGGTATTCCTGCCAGTATCTACTTCCTTAGTAGAAACGGTTTCTATTTGTAGGCACGGTTCTCTTTGGATACCATGGGTGTCTTTTTTTCTTGGCTGGCCCGTCACACCTGGTATGAGCTGGAAATGTCCGTGTAAGCACGTGCTTTCGATTGGCTGGCATCACCAAGACCCGGCCCCGCTTTTTGGGTGACACGCCCCCACTGCGCCGCCCTCCCAATGGAATTGATTCATGCACGCATGGATTCCATGGTAGCGCGGAAATTGGGCCGCTAGACTGTAGCAATTGAAGCGCATTTAATTCCATTAAACAACCTCTCCAAAGCCCTTCGATTGCGAAGCTATTGCTAGCCACCGGGTTTCCTCCAAGGTCCCGCGCCGTGGAGGTACCGCGCGATGGAAAAACTATGACGCGCGGATACCTGGATGCCTAAGGTTGAGCCTCGCCCCCGCCCAGAACCTTAACTTGACCTTCTCTGTGACTCACATATTCTTCCTCTTTTCCTCTTTCCATGGCCATCATTGCCGACCATCACTACACCCGTACAACCACCTGCCGGCAAATACGATGTCGGAGACCACGGCAAAGACAAAGCGCGTCAAGACCATGACGCTAGCGAAAGGGTACCGCTACCCCGAGATCCCGGAGGCTCTGCTGGACCATCGATACGAGCAGAGCCAGCATGCCGAGTACAGAGTTGTCGCTTGTAATTACACCATTCGTTCCCCTTCCCAATACCATTCGTTACGCATGCTAACTGTTCTACAGTCACCACGTCGACCGCATGGGGCCCTGGCAGTGTCGCCGCCAGCCGGGCTCAGGTGGAACCAACTGTCACGCGCGACAACGAGCAGCTCTTCCGGACATACCACCCATCCCTCAGCTGCGCCATGACGGTCGGCATCTTCACAGAAGGCAGTGGCCGCGCCATCTGGTATGCCGAGCACTTCCAGAGTGCGCCAACCCACACCCACGCCGGCGACCTGGAAGTCCACGTCGTCCCCGGCGCGTACCCCATCGACACGCTTCACTACCCGTTGGCGGGCCGCGATACGATCCACTACGCCATCAACCCCCGCCGTCTTCTATCGAGCGAGGATATCCACCAGTTCGCGGACATGTTCCCACGTGCCATCGGGTTGCAGATCTTCATCGCCGGACGCATCCATGTCCTATACCAGGACAGGACCTACGTTGAGGCGGACTGGAGAGAAGGCGTCCCGCAACAAGTCGGCGGCTTGGCTGTCCAGTTTTCCGTCCCATCTATCATCCCATCGCAGGCCGAGCTCACCTATAGGCAAGGTGTGGCGGCCAAGAAGGACTCGAGGATCGCAACCGGCTGCCTCGGTGTCTCGCTGCGGCTTCCGGACGGCGAAGTCGTCGCCACCACCGTCACCCACGGTTTCGTCCATCTCCCGGGCGTCGGCTATCTCTCGCGAGCTGTCGGGCTCTTCGACAAGCTGAAGAAATCCCTCCTGCGGCTCCGGTGGCCTCCGCAGCAAGAGTCCCTCACCGGCCACGTCCGATCATCAGACCCGGCCGGCAACTCCCCCGTGGGAAAGGAGGTCTGGGTCGCAGCCACAAACTGCCGGCTGGGAACCATAGGCCACACCTTCGACCGGCCAAGCCGCTACCTCCCCTACCCCCACGGCTACGGACACGATCTCTCCCTCGTCAGCGACTGCTTGGGCCGCACACTCGTCCCGCAGCCCTACCTCCCCACCGTCGACGGCTGGGCGGACATGCGGAAGGTCCTTGACGGCGGCCCGCTCTTCCTCACGGCGCAGCTCCTCCATCTCGGGCCCCACGCTACCAACAAGTCCGTGTTCGGCACCGTCACCGGCGAGGAGGCTCAAGAGGCCATCCTGACCGAAGCGGACGACGCCATGGCCGAGGGACACCAGTACTTCTTCGACCGAGAGACCCTCGACGTGTCGGTGGCCCTGCTGTGGCGCGTCGTGCCCAAGGATCAGACGAGGAACATGACGGTCAGCGGGTTCTCGGGCTCCGTCCTCTGCCTTGGCAGGCCGTCAGACAGGACGGCGAAGGCGGTCGTCTTCCAGAACTTTGAGTTCCCAGTCTGCATCCCGAGGATCGAAGGCGGGAGGATTGTCGAGTCGCACGACATGCCGACGTTCAACATCAAGGCGGGATTCCTTCTGCCCAAGGAGATCTTGGAGAGCGAGATCGTTTATACGGAACGGTCTGTCTCTCAGCGCTTGTCGAGCTTCCCGGCACGACAACTTGGGCGGGAGGTATCGGCTGAGAGCCGCCGCAGTGTTTCTGGACCGCAGTAGAGAGAGGCTGCTTGGGACTCGGTTGCTACGAGGTTTATGTCGTTATGAATTATACCTTAAGACTAGTTGCTCTCGCGAGCCACGGCGTTTTTGGACGGTAAGGGGCAGGTAGCACTCTAGTATGCTCCCAACGGCTATGCCTTCAACTAATTATATAATTATCTCCTAATTAATTGTTCTTTGGCGATTAGTGTAACCCCTTAATCAACTTCTATGACTGAGGCACTGGACCTGATCACATCGAACTTGATCTAAACGAGGGCAAGAGAAGGCAGCAGCCCTTGATGACTCCAGAAGCCTTCGTGAGACCAGACACAGTCACACAGCGGATATGGATCTGAGCGCTTCTACGATATAACACTTGCACACACAAACACACACACACACACACAACTTCTGTTTACAAGGAAAACGAGACGTACACATACAGTCCGTGGCTCAACGCTTTGCCTGCAGGGTATCCTCGTTGGCTTTATTGATGATCAGCCATCGTCTGTCCTCAGCGCTCTCGACCAAGGCTAGCAGGACGGTGATATCCATGTCCAACGCCATCTGCTTGGTCTGCTGGGAAAGCGCTTAGCCACTAAGACTAACGCTTTCAAGATTCACCTCCTTAGGATATCTATGCAAGGGGAGAGAGAGGACGTGGTGGAGGGAGAGGAAGACCAGCTCCCAGAAAGGGTAACCACAACAGGAGGGCGTGGCTTGATCCCAGGGGGTTGTCCTAGAAGACCAAGGTCAGGGGAACCCGGTAGCTAGGATTTGTCGGAAAGCTTGGTCATAATGGGAGACAACTAGAGCGATGACGGATGTAAAACAGCTTATTGTGATGAACCTGCAGCTCCAACATGACTCTTCATCCTTAGCCTCCAACCAATCACACTTTCCCCTAAGCTTGCAGGCTAAATAAAGCCTAGAACAAACCTGCACCCCCATGCATAAGCTTTACCGAAACCCCTGCACCTGGCTTCCCCTCCAACTCCCCCCTCACCCTTATAATCTCCCTCAAAACAATCCTCTCTAGCTCTACATAGCGGATGACCAGCCTGTGCACCAACCCTAGAATCTGCCCCTCCATCCCGCGCAGCCCCTTAACAAGTGCCTTGCACCTCTTCATGGCAGCATCTATGGCATGGTCCCCTAGGGCAGCTAGCAGCGCTGCGGCGTTGAGGGCTGAGTTGATGGTGTGTTGCGGGACGAGCGGGTGGCGGATAGGAGCGAGAGGTTAGATCGCTGGCGCGCGCGGAGGGCTTAGAGGTGGTTCTTCAGGGCGGAGATTGTGGCTTGTTGGTGGGAGAGGGCGGTTCCTAGGGTGGCGAGGGTGGTGGGCGGCGGGGGCGGTGGCTGCGGATGCTGGGGCCACGGGGGATTTGCATCTGCCTGGCTGGAGATAGGGGTTGCGTCGAGGGGTGGGACAAGGCCACTGCCGGCGAGGATGCTGCCGCTCCAAGGATCAAGACGTAGCAAGCGTGCAAAGATGGTGCGCTAGAGCGCGGCGTTGAGATGCTGCGAGAGGCTGCGGCTGGCGATGAGGTGGGCGGCGATGGCGAGGAGGTAGACGCCGCAGTCGTCTGGGGTCTGCTAATGCGGACAGGCCATGGCGCGGAGGGGCCAGGATGCCAGCGGGGCGAGAGCGAGTCGGCGGCCCATGATGAGGGAGACGGCGGTGTGGATGTTGGCTGGGATGGTCCCGATGCCGGTGCCGGTGCTGGGGAGGGGGTTGTAGATGGCGATGCCTTCTTGGAGGGCAGTGCGGCGGCGAGGACCCAGTGGTTTGCGTCGGCGAGGTGAAGAGGCAACAGGATAAGGGTCGCAGTGCCAGATTCGATGGTGATTGCAGCGAAGGACAGGAGGGGCGTGTCTTGTGCGTCTGGGCAGCAGAGCAGGGGGCTGAGACAGGCCAGCTTGGTCGACGAGACGAGGTTGAGGAGCCGGAGACTAGCGTCGATAAGGCAGTCGTCAAGCCACCGTTCAGGGCTGAGCCGGGTGTCGGACTGGGGATTGCTGGCTGGGTCGAAGTGGAGCCACGCTCGCAAACTGGTCATCGTTGCCGCCGAGATGGTGTCGGTGTCCCGAGCAGCAGCCTTCACAGCTCCCTGTGCGGTTTGGTCGGCGGGAGGAGCTGCTGGCTTGTGTCGAACGCGCCACTGCTGTCCCGGGGCAGCACGTCGAATCCAATGTCTCCATCATCACCGTCGTGTCCGTCCCCGTCTCCGTCTCCGTCGCCGACCTCGATATCCTCCTCGGAGTTGTCGTCATTGTGCCTAGACGGGCTGAAAAAATCCGCCGTGATCTGACTGGGAGCTGGTGGGGCGAGGGCCGCCGGTCGCATCCTCGGAGACGCTGCTCGTGGTGGCATGGACATGAGGAGCGGTCCCCTTGCCCTTGAGCGACCGGTGGTGGTCGCTGGGAAGCGCGCCATGTTTAAGGAGGATACTGTCTAGAAGGCTGTCGTCATGGCCATGTTTATTGCTGGGACTGGCGACTGGATGGCGACGGGCGATCTCGATGTCCATGTCAGATGTGTTGTGGCTCTCGGCAGCACCCGGCGCAGGAGAGGGGGGGAGGTGCTGGCCCGCTTGGGCAGAGGAGAGTCCTCATCACCGTCGTTGTCGTCGCCATCATCGTCATCGTGGCTGGGCTCGCGAGGCTCTCGTGATCTCCTGCCGCCCTTCTTGCGCTTGCCGGCCCGGATGGTGACGTTGGAGAACTTGTCGGTCTTGAGCATGGCCCGGATGACATCGTCGGGGATCTACGGCTTCTTCCGATCCACGCCGCTCTAGCTGGCAGTGTTGGCATTCTTGCTGCTCCATTTGCCTCCGCTTCCACCTCCGGTGTCGCTGTCTACAGACGACTGGGCTGTACCGAGTCGCTCGTTCTGGGCGGCTCTGACGAGGGGAAGGGTGGTGTCTATGTCGACCTTGGCCGACAGCTGGCGCAGGTTGACGAAGAAGTCCCGCGACGTGACGCTGGTGAATTCGAGATCGAGCACGGCCGGGCCGACGGACTCGTTGCGGCAGATTGAGGCGATGTTGCTCTTGGTGTGCGGCGTGATAATGGATGGCGTGCCCGAGCCGTCGGCCAGTGCCACCTCGAGGTAGCACCTTGAACTCTTTCGGGGTCCATGGCAGAAATGTCTCCCGAGCGGCCTGACGAGTCCGAGTCTGGTGTCCGCACCGCCGTCGATGACGGCTCCCAAGGCGGCCAAGTCTTCCAACAAGCCCTTATACAGAGCGACCGCCGCGGCCAGGCCCATGCCGTCTTCAACACCGTCCAGGACCGAACCTGTTTCCCAGCTTGTGCCCCTAACCGGTTGAAGCTGCAGTATCGAGTCCACTTAAGGCATGACGACTTATCCCACTCGTGCTGGACCATATACAAGCTGGGTTAAACCACAGATCATCACCGCCAACCGGCCCAGGCTGTCGCGGTCCAAGAAGTTGCTCGGTTCGTCCAGCACCAGCAGATACAGGTTGTTCCGCATGGTTATCATAGCCAACGTCAACGCACATTATCAGAGCTTTGTTCCTCTCCAACAAGCTTTACTTATTATCGCCAGCGACTATGCCTACGATGAATTTCTTTTTATATCTTCTCTCTTTCTCTTCACGGGGTAAGTCAACCCAACACAACCAGTGAACATGATTGAGACACCAAGCAACCAAATCTTATGTCATACCTGCCACAAGGTCTATTGTGCTACTGCCCCGATGAGAAAGTAGGGTTTTCAGGAGCCGTGAGATGAAGTCGAGTCCCTTAGAGACGTCCTCAGGAGAGGTTGATAGGCCGTGTTCTTGAGCAGCATGAACTTGCTCTTAACCAGGTTGGCAATCACCGTTGCCAGCAGCTTGATGACCTAGGCGTTGCGCAAATAGACTTCTCTGTAATGGTTGAACTTGAACTGCTTAGAAGGTTGCTAGTTGTAGTACTTTGTGCTAGATGCCGAACACGAGGCCTGGACGAGGATGCGGTTCAAGCACTAGACCTTGACGATCAAGAGCGGGGAGGAGCGCGCCGTCGATGCCGTATAGAGGATCTGCAGCGCTTCCTCCTTTTCCTGAGCCTCGCTGCGACGTCGTGGCCGGCGCCTGTTTGCGCCGTCTACGTCACGGCGGAGACTGCTTCGCCATGCACGAGCAGCCCCGCCGCAAGCGTCGTCATTATGCTGCTTTAAGGTCCGGCCAAAAGAGAGCAGCCGAGGAAGAAGGCCATGGTGGCGTTGGCGGCGCCGATAACGCCGCCACTGACGGGGGCGTCGTAGAAGGAGGTTGTGGGAGAGTAGATGGAGAGTTGTTCTTTAACGTGCAGGGCGTCGTGAGATTCGAGATCCGCACTGCCAGTGCCAAGCTCGAGGGCCTGCAGCATCCCAGTGTGTTGATGTTATTCCATATCTTGGAGAGGGTTGGGCTAACGAGAGAGCCAGGTGGCTCCACATCATCGATGCCATTCCGCTCCTCCTCAGACCATTGACCATGTCCGTGATTTGGCCTCCCTCTGGCACCGGCTGGGCGGTGGGCAAGGCCCGGGCCCAGTGGGGAGGGGTGAGTCTCGAGGGCTGCAAGCTGCTCAACAAGGCTCCGATGCGACTCCGGCGGCCCTACAACTCCGTTTTCGACCTGTCAACAAGCAAGCCAATGTTTTCCGCAGTGGGGTGTAACCTCAAGAACCCAAGTGGCTCAACCGGGACCGATTTGTCCTCTCGTAAGTTTCCCCACGCTCTAGAAATACTTGGGTACTTTCCAGACTCTTTACTGACACTGCTTGTTTGCTGTCTTGGCTATTCGAGGACGGTGAGGTAGAGCCGGGCGGCATTTCGATCAGGCACGGAGGCCTTATACGCAAGATCTGCGTGGAGAGGACTAGGCTTAGGAATCAGTAGTACCAGTAGATCGACTCCCGTCTAGACGGCCTAGGAGCACGGGCGCAACAGCGTCGGCACCAAGAGCAGGATTTGGCCGTGTCAGGTGTTCAGGCCATTGGCCCGTTAGAAGCACCAATATTCCAGACCCCTGAAGGAATTGCCTTTGTCCATGTCCTTGCCAAGAAACAGAACGTTGGCATATGCCGGCTACAAGAACCCCCACTCGCGATACCATCACCCGAACCATGCCTGACTCTGCCGCCTAGCCCATGTGGCTATTCGTCTTCATCTAGTCTGTCGTGTATCGGCTTGGTGATTTTACTTCAGTACTTACGCTCTTTCGTACCCTAGAGATCTGCGGCCTTTCTTGCAATCATCACGCGACTTGCTGCGAGGGTAGAAGTATTTATAATCAACTCCAGTCGTCTGAAGCTTTGGGCCGGATGGACGGTTGTTCAAGCCGACCCCCTATCATCGACGAGTCCGAATGGATACGAGATTATATAGCCTGTTTCTACTATCACGTAGTGAATGTCGGTCAGGACCAGTCTATCCTTAAGGACGACCGTGCTAGGAATAGGGTCCTTCTTTGCCAAATCACTTCCCAGCTTGGCTCTCGTCCTTTGCCTTCCTTACATCCCTCTTCTGTCTCTCTTTCGAGTTGCCGGTCCCTGTCATGCTCGCCTAGGAAGGTGCCGATCCAAACACCAGGGACTACACCGGCAGGAAGCCCCTGCACCTGGCCACAGATAAATGTGTGAAGAAGGATCTGGAGCAGGGCCACCGTGGCTGAGATGGGAGTTACACCGATCTCGATGGTGCAGACGCGCTTGTGGTTCGCCAAGCGGCTGGCGCGGCTCGTGGGCGACGAGAACCACGGCCTCTTCTTCACGCCCGTCTACGCGTTGGCGCTTAACTACGCCCTGACTGTGGCCTACGTTGCCGTTGCTGAGTTCGCCACCCTCCTAACCTTCTACGGCGTCACCGGCTACACCTTCTGCTTACTGACCGTCTTGATAGGGTATCAGAGAATTATATTCAGGCATTCGATGAGAGAATCCACCAGCTAGACTGCACAATGAGACCGCACAGCGACAGAGACTTGGGGCACCGCCGCCACCGACTCGCTGCTGCCCACCCCACTCGCCCCTTGAACAGGGAGCCCGCGCCCTGTACACCGACGGCAAGTAGGAGGAGGCAATTCGTTTGCAGAGACTGGGCCTAGTCTGGTCGTCTTGGTAAAATGTCGTCAGTCCTAGCCCAGCCAGTCTCACGTTATATCTTCTTGGCAGGAGGCCAAAGAAAAGGAACCGGGACGGAAGGGCAGACAGCAAGGGGGTCCTGATCTATAACGGTGGTCCAATCGAGGAGTTTAAAGAAAGCGAGTCTGAGATCCAAGCTGAGGCGGCGCCCTCTCTCTTCGGGCGGACCTCTCGATACAGAGCGTCTATGACGAGGAGGGGAGAAGGACTGGGAGAAGCTGGCAAAGCAGGACGAGAATGCCGCGGACTAGACAGACGCGAGCTTGTAAGCATCGTGCTGAAAACTTCCTGTGCTGCAGGCCTATTCCAGCCATTTCAACATTCTTGAGCAAGTGGAGGGACTGCTAATAGTAGTACATAGTAGTAGGCAAGTAAGACGTTATCCTTCAAGTAAGCTCTGAGAGTCCCTTAGCTTCAGCTTCACATCTAACCCAGACTGCACCACTAGCCACACACAATGGTCCTGGTATCGTTTCGGATCAACCAAAGTGACCTCAAAGGTTCTGAAAAACTCGGGGATCAACTTGGACAATTCCAGCATAGCGACGTGTCTTCCGATGCCTAACGTATGATTAGCAAGGCTGCAGTTTAGGTGTGGAAATGGTGGATCCATACATGTCCTTGACCCGGCACCAAAGACGAAGTTACAACGCTCCATGTTCTTCACTCTTTCCTCGTCCTCGTCCAGCCACCTCTCGGGGCGGAAGATATCCGCATCCTCTCCAAATACTTCCTTGTCGTGGTGGATCGTCCACGCGTTGCACCCTACCTCGGTGCCTTCTGGAAGAAACACGCCACAGACTTCAATCCCACCCGGCGGGACTACTCGCGGAAGCATTTGCCCGAGGGCTGGATGGAGCCTCATGGTCTCCTTGAGACAAGCTTGGAAATATTTCATGTTGTAGGCCTCCGTCCACGAGACGTGCTTTTCATAGTCCTCGTTCTGGGGCCGGGCCTTCAGCACGGCCTTGACCTCGTCCATGAACCGATCGAAGCAAGCCTTGTTCGTGAGCAAAAAATAGATGACTGCACGAAGGATGATGGCGGTCGTGTCAGAGCCAGCACTGACGTTAGTCACGGCAAAGTCTTCCATCTGAGTCCGCGTCATGATGTCGGGGTACTTCTCTGCGGCAATCTGGAAGCGAGTGATGAAGTCGGAAGGAGCTTCGGGGTCCGTATGTTGAGTGTGGTTGTCGATATGTTGCAGACTGAAGCTGACGATGGCATTGGGTTTTCGGAACCGCCTAAGGATCGGGTTGCGAAGCCGGAACCACTCATCTAGCCAAGGCATGGTGCCCACCTTGAGGACAATGAGCTTGCGAGCTTGGAAAGGGGGGGCTGGCTGAGTTCACTTACTCTGCCAATGTATTCCATGTGTAGAGCGGTATGGTGCAGCATGTCATGCAAATCAGTGCCAGCCTCTAGAAACCCGAATCGCTTGCTAAAGGTTATCTCTCCTCTGTTCTCATCCATGAGCAGGAAAACTTAGCGAGGGGGGAAGTAGCTAGGGTGACTCACAGGACATCAAAAGCATACAGTTGAAGCCAAAACGCGAGGTCGCATTCAGCACCGGTCTTGACGAAGCGTCTGGTCAGCTCGCGGAGAAAGACATCGGTTGTCGAGTCCATGAGCTTTTCATAATCCAGCAAGTTGCTTAGGGCATATGCGTGGTTGACGGCGCGCCTCAGGCGAGCGTGGATACGTTCGTCGCGTGTCGAGGAGAGGTTGTGCATGACTTCGCCGTCTTTACTCATGAACTGATGCGTAATGTACAGGGGTCCCTGAAAAAGGTTAGATTCGTCTTTCCTCGGGGTCTCATTTGCTGACCTTGTTGAATATGGGATTGAGCCCATATATTACTTTGATAGCCGCTGGATCAGCCACAGAAACCGTGTTCGGCCCAAACCGCAGAATCGGAGATTTATATTTGCGATGAAGCTCATATTCCTTCATGGTATTTCCTCGAAGGGTGTGCACGACTCTCCAGCCATCGCTAACGGCGGCCGCAAACGGCCCTGGGACATGGCGTAGCTTCAGGTAGTTGTGAATCAGTCGCCAAAGGACGGCTGCGCTGAGGAGAATGGGCCAGTAGGCTCGGATGAGAGCTACGATAATTGACAGAAGTTGCATGGCCACGTGACCAATGTCGTACGTAGTAACGGCTTGTGTTCTGGCAGGTCATTCGAAATTCGCCGATGAAGCCTAGACAACAGAGTAACTGGCAGCAGCATATGGTTACCTATAATCGCCGTCACTACTATATCCAAAGCACGTCCAACCACGTGCCTTGATAGAACCGAGCCTGCAGACAGCTTGTAAAGGTCCAGTCCCGTCTTCGGGACGGAATTACGGAGTTACTTAACCGGCATGGGGGCGAGCCAATTACATATACCCCCTTGGGGTGTATATAGAATTCTCCACTTTTATGCCCTCTCTTAAACTTATTTTCACAGTTTTCGAACCACCGTACGATAATAAAAGGTTTTAAATGGGTTAATCGCTTTTACTTTGCAGTAAGCTATTGATTAATGTACATAACATGCAGGTTTTGTGGTTGTCTTTCAAATGAAATTTCAGTTTGAAGGTCTTTGGAGTTGAGAGGGGTTTGGTGGTGATAAAATTGGGATGGGGTAGCTGCAGTGACTTTTGACCAAGTTTGTGGCTCTGTAAGCGAAAATTAGAGGTATCTTCACATACTAAAATCGTGGCGGGGTACTTTCCAAGCAGACTAGGCCGACAGTGTCACCCCCGGAATTACCTGGTTGTAATTCCACGGAATTGTGTGGAGTTGCCGAAATCTCCGCACGCCACCACTCCTGCAGGCGGGCGGGGCCAGCAATCCGGGGTCACTTGTGTAGGGTACATGTATATTCTACATTAGTTATCTGTCACGGGTGCGCCCTTTCACTGCGACGGGAGCACCATGTTTGTGCACAGGGCTGTAGCCAAATGAAAGCCTGTTTGGATCTACAAAGATTTCTATACAAATTTGGTGGCATCAGAAATCGAGGTACAAAACGGTACCTCAATATTCATGTGACTCCATGAAAATCCAGGGCTTCAACTTTTCTCCTTATGTAACAAGGCTCTATGCACAGACCAACAGGCCACTTTCCATATTAGTGGAGTCAAGGTGGTGCGTTACCGAAGCGAAAGGGGTAGTGCAGGAAGCCAAGCCACTAACTACCCCATGGTCAACTACGTAATGCTCCATTGCATCTAACCTCTAGACCTGTTTCTGCTTAGGTCTGGTCGGAGGTGCGGAAGCTATCAACAATAGCCAATCAAAGCAGAACTCCCCCGGATTCCTGTACAGCAGAGTGAGGGGTAAGGTACGGTAGGCTCGGGAGGTAAGGCGGCATTTTTGTACTATGGCAACAGTCTCTCCTCCATCTTTCTCTCCCAGTAAACGCAAACCTCGTCCAAGGTCCAACCCCGCATCTGTTTCCTTCTCAGGCCACTAGAAACGTCCCACTTCTGCTTGCCATCCGACGTTGCATGATGATGTCGACGCCCTCTCCGTCCGCATCCAGCACGGCCGCACACAAACAAGGCCATCATGATGCTGGCAATTCCGCCCCTGCCCCTGTCGCCGTCCCAAAGCGAAGGGCGCCCAAGGCTTGCCGCGCTTGTCGGATGAGAAAGGTTCGCTGCAATGTCTTCGAGCATGGCCCGCCATGCACCAACTGTAGGTTGGATGACGTTGATTGCGCAGTCCCTCAGCGTCGCAAGGGCCGGTAAGCTATTTCGCCTTCTCACTTTATGTGAAGTCGATGGTCTTTCGGAATGATTCTTACGTGGTCCATACCTCCAGCTCCCATCCAAATACCCGAAAGGTACAGCGCAGCCCGCAGACCGAGGCACTGTTCACGGAGCCGGGTTTGATGGAATGGGAGAACGACGAGCAGATTCTGTCCACAAGCAGCAATAATGACGCAGCTGTGCGCCAAACCGTCATCGTTGGCGGGAACCCGGAAGACGATACATCTGCTCAGAGAGCTCCAGAACGGTAAATACCTCCAACGAATTGATATCGCAGGAATGCGAAGCTAACAACACTATACCAGACCTCGACAAATTGAAGCCACAGCGGACGCGATTCCCGAAGCATCGACTTTGGTGCTCGAGCAAGCTTTCTCACGCCCGCCCGCCGGTTCGATCGAGCTCCCATATTTTATCCGCCCGCTACCCTCGAACATCGATCCGGTCGACCTAGAATACCTGCAGAGAAGGGGCACGTTCCGGCTTCCCGAAAAGCCTCTGGTAGAAGAGCTGCTCTGGAACTACTTTGAAATGATTCATCCATTCACTCCAATTGTGGACCGCGATGTCATTTCCCAGCTGTTCGAATTCCAAATCACGACGAATGGAGGCGAAGATGCGAGATTGAGTCTGTTCTTGATGCAGGCCATGCTGTTCGTCGCCAGTGCCGTAAGTCATTTCCTCCGCAGAATGTGCTAGAACGCACGCCGCATGTTGGCTGACGCTTGTGAGAAGTTCGTCAAGGAGTCTTTCCTGCAAGAAGGAGGATACGGGATCCGCGCCGACCTCCGTCGCGAGTTCTACCTCCGCGCTAAAGCGTTGTACGATTTCGACTTGGAGACAGACCCCGTTGCGTCCCTCCAGGGACTGCTCATCCTCACATATTGGTTCAGCCCGGAGCAGCCGAAGAACGGATGGTTCTGGCTGGAGGCGGCCATCTCGAAGGCGCAGCTGATGGATCTCTCGGCCATGGTTGAGAGGTGTCAGCAAGGCAGGCGGAAGAGTTTGTTGAAGAGACTGTGGTGGTGCTGCTTCATCAAAGAGAACGCCACGCATCTCGAGCTGAGAAAGATTCCAAGGCTGCGGTTGGAGACGTGCGATGTGGAGCCCCTCGCCCTGGCAGACTTTGGGATCGAGGAAGATGGACATGAAGAAGCGGGACAGGCGTCGCAGAGGCAGGGCTTTCTCGGTATAGGTCCAGCCAAGGAACGAAAAAACGCCCTCCTCTGCGTTGCGATTGCCCGGCTATCTGTCTGCCTGAATCGAATACTGTCAGTTCGCCTAACTGCTACAGTCCTGGCACGATCGGACGCATTCCGCACCAGCAACTTCATGATTGTCAGCAAGGAGCGCGCCATCATCATCGAGACCAAGGCATGCGAGGCGCAGTTGAGACAGTGGAGGGACACGCTACACCCGGAAGCTCAATGGCGAGAACCACAGGACAATGTCGAAGTCGATTCTAGTGTCGAAATGCACAAGATCTTGATGCATCTTATGTATTTCGCCGCTATGAGCACCTTGTATCAGGCCCAGGGGTTCCCCCTAACTGCTCAAGCACCTACAGATCCAGAGCAGCTTCGGTTTCATGAGCTTTCGAAGCAAAGAGTCTGTTACTCAGCGGGGGAAATCACCAAACTGGCGGAGGCAGCTAGACGCTACCAAGTGACGCCCTATATGCCCGACTTTACGTGCGTCTCAAATTCCTCTCCCCCTTTTGCAACAAGGTCTCTCCTATACCACATAACAGGAAGTTTGCTAACCGTCCTTCGCAGCCTCGCGCTTCTGGTGCCCGCCATCGTCGTCCACCTCCGGAGACTCCGCGCTCGCCAGCCCGAGTGTCGACAGGAGGGCTACCGGGGCCTACGCATCTGCATCGAGCTGGTTGAAAGCCTCAAGCAATCCTGCGCCGCCGCCCACCGCGTCGTGCGGCTCCTGACGCCTGCCTTGGAGAAATCCGGCTGCTCTCTCACCGCAGCTTCACCTCTCTCCAGGCAACGATCTGCGACAGCAGCAGCAGCAGCAACAGCAGAAGCCAAAGACGGCCCAACAACAACAACCACCTTAACTGACTTCCCATCCTTCACCATCACCACCCCGTCCCCGCTCCCCCCCTTCCTCGACGCCCCGCTCTCCCCGGTCTCCCCTGCCGCCATATCCGGCGCCCCCCAGAACGAGAACGAAAAGCGCCCCGGCTGCCCCACCACCACCACCATCATCACTCCGCCCGCCAGCCTCGGCCAACCGATGCCGACCTTTTGGTTCGACAGCCTCACGCTGGACATGGACACAATGAGCGCAGACAGCACCAACCCGCTCGGCGCGACGCAGCCGCTCGAGCAGCCGCCACTGGCCATGTACGCATTCGACAGCGCCGATACCGCGGACCTGTTTGCGAGCCTGGACGACATAGATTGGTCAGTCGACTCGCTGTTCAGCAACTTGAACTCGCCCATTCCAAACTCGATAGACTGTCCGTTGGATATGGATGGGTTTGGTTGATAGCTTGCCTCGATAGCAACGCGGTTTAGGTCATGGGGGTTTTATTATCTTGATAGTTAATGCCGAGGAAGCGGAGCAAGGTTGTGCGGAATAAAGCGTGGCGTTTTCAGTTTCAAGGGCAGTTTGTTAATTGGAAGCAATAGGATAGCATAGGAATCGTAATAACTTAATGTACCAGATACAGACGACAGTAGCTGTAGTGAAGGTCAATTGCCGAAGTTGGGATTGAGTAGAGTAAGCTAACTTACAAGACTATTTTAACTAGACTCATATAAAGTTCCTAATAGCAGGACTATCCCGCCCAGGGGAGGGTCTGTTCGTGACCATTGAAATAGTAGCAGGAGCATATACACTTAACTTCCTTAGCAAGTAATTAACTCATGTCGAACGCTGCTGACCTAGAAAGACTCGGCTCAACCCTAGACCGGCGTCCCACTCAAACCGCCGTCGTGCCTTGGAATCCAGCTAAAATCCGCGTCCCCGCTTCCTCGCGGCCAAGGTCAAATTCTGCCAATCGCGCGACAGGCTGCTCACGACCTGCAAGCCGCGATTGCCGCTCTGGAAGGTCTGGCCCATATCGCCGAGAGCCTGCAGGCAGATGTGGAGGCCGTCGCGGGCTGCGCGGGCGGCCGACCCGGCCAGCACGCAGCAGTCGTGGGCGTGCTGGATGCCGGCCGTCATGACGACGTGCACCGCCTGGATGTTGATCTGCTGCAGGCCCCACTGCCGCCGGTAGAGCACGAGCAGGCGTGTGATGGCCGACGCCGAGGCCGTGCATTGTGCGGCGGCGACGCTGTGGAGGCTGCTGGGTGCGCTGATGCTGCTGGTGGGAGAGCTGCTGCCGACTTGGCTGATGAAGGGCCGGTTGAGCAGGATCAGGGCTTCGTGGTATTGCATGCTGGCCGAGGGGGGGGGACAAAGCTCGTCAGCCAGGAGCGGATTTCATGAGGGAGAGGGGAGATGAAGATAGGGGAACGTACTGGAGCTGCAGCACCATGGGGAGATACAGTTTCTTGTCGCTGTTATTACCAGCCCGCCAGTCCTGGCTGGTGTCGACGTGTAGCGAGGCGGGCAGCGCGTCCTTCCACCGTTGGAGCTCCGTGGCCATGGCTGCGTGGAACATGTGCCCGTCGGCGGACAATTCCGGGAGGCCATTGTAGCTAGTGCTCGAATCTCAGCAAACCCATCAAAAACCACTATAGTACGTACCCCGGCGTCATTGTGGCCTTACAGGATGTTGGCCGTCTTGCCCATCTTAATCGCCAGTTGCGTCATGTACATGGGCACCACGTTGGCAGCGCCCAGATCCAGATCAGGCGGGAGCGTGGGCTGCTCGGTGCAGTCGGTGTAGTACTCCCATTTGTGCCGCGTGGGACCAGGGGTGCTGTGCTGCGTACCGCTCATGGGGAAGGGCCGCCCGCTGTATGAGCTCCATAGCCTGGCCATGTGTCAGAATCTCGTCGTGTCAGTTCAGTCCCGCCGCGCTAGAAGGGTCAGACCACAGAGCAACAGGGATAGTCGCCGAGTGGCATCTAGCAGGGACTCAAAAGAAGGAGGATGGGGAAGAGCGTGTGTATCTCACGTGGTCGCTGTATGTGTGGCCCAGTACATGTCCTTTCGCAGCTGGGCAATATCGCCGTCACCATCGGTACTGTTGGATTCCATCCGATCATGTTCGAGGCTGAGATGCAAGCCCAAATCCGTGACAACTTGCACCGCCATACCTACACGCTGTCACACTCTAACTTCCAACTGCGACTCGAGGAGTCTCGTTTTGTTCACTCACCGGCATAGATCCAGCCTGCGAGGCAAGTAAGTCAGTCGTCGTCTACCGGCATCGCGAAGTAGGGACCATTAATTACCTCTCGAATCACGGGCTCTAGCAGCTTCATGCCCAGACAAGACCAGCAAGGCCTGTACGGTCGCCACAGTTGGGCTGTCGATCTCAATGTCCAGCAAGGCCTTTGCACGGGAACCAAAGAATTCCGCCGCGTCGTCTTGGTTCCCAGGGTGCTGCCGCGACGAATATGCAGCACCTACGGCCAGACTTGGTTGGTCAGCAGTTGACGGGACGGGAGGGAGAGAAATCAGGGGAGCAACATACATGGCGTTGTCCAGGGTTGGCGAATAGTACGGCGTATCATGGCCAGCCTCGTACACCCTCTTCTCCCTCAGGTACACCTCCTTGGAGACTTCGTTTAGCAGGGGGCTGTGCCACGCGAAATACAGATTCGTCAAGTGCTCCTCATAGACCAGGTCGCCGGCCCAATATAGGCCGTTCGAGCGCAGGACCTGGTCACCGCACGAGCGGATGGTGCGGATAGACGGTTCGAACAAGGAAAGCAGCCCGTGATTGATCATGTGCAAGTTGCTGGTCGCTCCGTAATAGCGCAGCTGTCCGTCTTCGGCGAACTGCAGCTGCCCCAGCCGGTTGGCCAGCTGGGCCGTGAGTTCTTTCTCCAGCACATCATGCTGAGCGGCATGGTCGGTAGAAGGAGCTCGATAGCCGGCGCTGCCGATCCCAAAGGACGGTAGAGCCTGGCTCGACGTGTCTGAGTTCGACCGGCGGTCTTCTGGGCGGCATTGGCGTTTCGGCGAGGGCGCGTCCTTGTCCCCGACAAAGACGAGTTGCCTGTCATATCCGTCATCCAGGGTTACGGCGGCGGTGTCGCTGTCCACTCCGACCGCCCCACCACCCTGCAGCTCGGATCCAACCGAATCCAAGTATCCCGGGCATTCTGCTATCTGCACCCAGTAGTCCATGTCCGGCTCGCCATAGTGACCACCGCCTGTCTGGGACTCGGATCCATCCTGCAGCTGGCCCAGACTTCCGGCCGACGCGCTAGGAGATCCTCGTGACCCCACTGACCCGTAGGGAAGCGGATTCAGGGTGGTACCGGAAGACGGCAGAGCAGCCGGTGGTGGGGTGTTCTTCCTGGCTTCTGCGACCTGCTTGCCCGTCAAGAGGCCCTCGAGGCCGTCCAAGCGCGAGCTGAGTGCACTGATGGTCTTCATGGTGGAGGAAGTCCTTGATGCAATGTCAGCTGATGCGTAAGATGGGTGGGACCTAGGCGTCGTTAGGAGTAGTCGAAGTACTCTCTCGGACTCACCTGCGTCGATCATCTCCGAAGACACAGTCGATATCGTAAACACAACAGTTCGAGCATCGAGGCCGATCGTTGTCACACTGGCGGTCATCAGTCAGTCAGTCAGTCAGTCAGTCAGTCCATTGCCCCACGTAATGCCTTGCTTCATCGTTGCAGTGTACGCGGTTTGTCTGCAACCGTAGTAGCAACAACACGTGCCGGAATTGCAATGCCGAAAACGCCCCGGTTCGCAATTACCTTGATCTTCCGCTTCCTGCAGGCCAGGCAGGCCGCCGACGAGTAGCGCCGCTCGCGGCCGCCACTGTTTCGGAGCATGGTGACGCAAAGTAGGGGGAAGGAAGATGGGGAGTAGCAAAACACAGGCAGTTGGTTTACTTGTGATGCATCTCCATAGGAGGAGAGTTCTGGGTTTTTTCTTTTTAGATTTAATAGTATGTCGGCTTTGTTAGTTGCTTTAGGTGAAATGCATGCATACAAGAAGAAGGGAAGGAAAGGACGGGAACCTGGGCCTACTCGACATGCTTGTGGGGTAGTAATAGTGCGGAGACTGCGGAGTATTTGCGGGGGAAACACGGCAGTTTGCGGGGGCAGTGGGGCGGCTTTGCTCCATCTGGCCGGAGGACAAATTACCAACAGGCTTCAGGCCCAATCATATCCCAGTCATATCCAGCTTCCCAATGCTACTGCCCCAGAACAGAGTACTAGCGGCCTGTGCTTACGTGGTTAGCTTGGTGCTAGTGTAGACGGCCATCATAGCGAGCCAACTAGCGCTGATGTATGTACTGTATGTACATTGTACATACCATGGTGTTATGGCCAAAAGCGAGACTTACCGGGTTAGTCCCCTCCTATGCGCGGAAATTCCAATCAATCTGATTGGTTAGATACCAGGCTGCTGATTATGTGGATATCCACGTGATGGCCCACCTCAAGATCAATGTAGTCAAGTCTACGGTACTTTTGCCAAGGAAGAGCTGCAGGGGTATGAAATGTCGGGTACTTGACGATTCCCCCGCGGGGATCCCTTACTTTCTTTCCTAACCTAGTACGTTCAATATATAGCCCAAATGAGGGTACGTTGTCCGCATTCACTGACGATAATATTCCCAGCATGAGATACCGGAGACACTATCGAGCATAACAGTGCTGTCATATTTCCTAGACTCTGATACGGCCACCGTTTTCTGCTCTTGTTAGGTATCAGTGAATCTCTAGCCTCACTACTGAGAACTCCAACCCTTTCGCAACTGACATTCAGGTGTACCCTCCATCGACATTGATAACCTGCTGATAGTTAGTAACAACAAATACACACACAAAGAAAAAAGAAGAGAAAAAGAAAGGGAAAAAGAGAAGCAGGACCCCTTACAGAAGCTGTGATATACCCCGCCTCCTCGCTCAATAGAAATCCGATGACCTTGCTGACCTCCTCAGGCTGCGCGATCCTCCTCAGCGCGGCCTTATGGACCAGCGCATCGTAGACTTCCTTTGCGTTGCCCAAGGAATGTGCCAACGGCGTATCAACGACTCCCCTGCCTCGCGGGTTAATCCGGGATGTCAATTCTCAAAGAGGAAAGGGGGGGGGGGGAGATAGCATACGGTGCTACCGCGTTAACTCGAATCCCTCGCGTACCCACTTCCTGCGCCGCGGACTTGGTCATGCCAATGACGCCCCACTTGGCCGTCCCGTAGGGAGCATTCCATGGGAAGCCATATAGGCCGGCAATGCTGGCGGCGTTGACGATGGAGCCGGGACCCTTCATGTGGCGCAGCTCGGCCCGGATGCTGTTCTTGACGCCGGTGAGGTTTGTGGCCAACATCATGTCCCAGTCCTCGTCCTCGACGACGTCCATGGCGAACCCCCTCCCGTGCAAGCCCTGGTTGCCCACGTACCCGGCCATGTTCGCGGCGCCGTCGAGCCGCCCGAAGTGGTCGGCCACGGCCTTGACGGCCGCGTCCATGGCCTTGCTGTCTTGTACGTTGCACGCTATCGAGAGTGCCTTGCCGCCCAGCTGCTCGATCTCGGCCAGGACATCGTCGGGCTTTCGTAGGTCGAGCAGGCCCACGTTGGCGCCCTGCTTGGCCAGAAACAGGGACGTGGTGCGGCCCATGCCCGAGGCGGCTCCGGTAATGACGAAGGTCTTGCCTTTTAGATCGCTGTACGACATGGTTGGACTGGACTGGACTGGACCGGACTGGATGGATTAATTGTCGATTGAAATGCCTGGAACCATACACACCGTCTCCTCCTTGTAACTTATAGAGATGATGGTGGGGCTTCCCATGTTCCAGATACCTACTATGCAATAATTGCCGTGCGCTTGCTCGGGAGGCTTCCGCTTCGGCACCTCCGCCTACAGCGTTCGGGGCCCCCCGGAGTTGTATCTCCGCCCGCACCATGTCATTCCCGCCGCAGCGACAAGTTCAGGCATCAGTACGTAATCGAAGAAGCGGAATCGGGCTTGAAATCCGGGGAATCGTCTTCTCCGCGATCCGCCAAGATGCGGAGGTCGCTATCCCGGGTCGTGCATGTTTTCAATGGGATAACAGTCAGCAGGCGACGCCGATGGACCTCTAGAAATCCTTTGATGAGTGTTAGAAGGGAAAGGAAGAAGAGAAAGAAGGAGAAGAAAAAAAGCAAAGGGAACCAGAAAGGCAGAAACTTGAAGGGCGACGATCAAAATGGGTCTTCTCTACACCTTGGTCATTCTGGGGCAACAATACTGGTTGCACATTCTTACCGTTGGACTCGTCCTTCGCCTCGCGCGCAACCGCTACAAACCCGTCCTCAGGGACATCCCCGGGCCGTTCCTGGCGTCGCTGTCTGACCTCTGGCTCTTTGTCCATTGTGTCCGCAGAAAGTCAAATCAAGACTACCTGTTGCATCGCAAATACAACTCACCCCTCCTACGCCTGGGGCCCAACACCGTGTCTGTCTCGGACCCAGAGGCGATTCGCATCATCTACGGATGGAAGCGTGTCTTTCCCAAGGTCTGTGGTGGCACTCGCTGCGAGAGAAAGGGCTCACCCTGCGCGCGTGCCATGGCTAACTAAATGATGCAATAGAGTCGGCTCTATATCAGCCAGTACCAGACCACCAAGACGGGCGAGGTCATCCACAATCTCTCTTCGGAGATAGACGAGGCGCAGCATGCACGACTTCGCCGTCCCGTCGCACACGCGTACGCGATGAGTACGCTAGTCGAGTTCGAACCCTTGGTGGATTCAACGTCCAAAGCGTTCATGGAGATCGTCAATGAACGCTTCGCCCAAACGGGCAAGATATGCCCCCTTGATCGATGGCTGCAGATGTACGCCTTTGATATCATGTCAGTCTCTTTCTTACCACAAAGCGCTGCCTCTTAGACCGGCTATTATTTGGTACTGACGCGGCTTTTTTCCCAGCGGCGAGATGACGTTCAGCAAACGACTGGGGTTTCTGGAATCGGGACATGATGTAGATGACATGATGCATCACACCGCACGGGCGATGGACTATATTGGCATGGTAAGCAGCGGTTCAGGGTGCGTCATTCCCGTGGTATTACCTGGTTAACGCAAATATACAGGTGGGCCAACTGCCTACCCTGGACGAATACCTTCGGATCAAGAACGCAGTCCTGCGCTGGCTTCGCCCGTCCGACAACATCACGCGGTGGACCGTCAGGCAGATCCGGTCGCACATCAAGAACGCCGACAACTCGTGCCCGGACTTCCTGACGCGCTTCCTGCAAGCCCGCGACAAGTACCCAGAGATCATGAACGAGGAGCAGATCGAGGAGTACGCCAACACCAACGTCAGCGCGGGCTCCGACACGACCGCCATAACCCTGCGCTCGCTCGTCTACGAGATTCTGACGCACCCGGACGCGCACGCCCGCTTCATGGGCGAGATCCGTGCCACGCTGCAGGCGCGTCCGAGGGACGAGCACTACGACGACCCGATCCGCTGGAACGAGGGCCTCAAGATGCCATTCTTCCAGGCCTGCATCAAGGAGTGCCTGCGCTACCACCCGGCGCTGGGTCAGCTAATCCCGCGCGACGTGCCGGCCGGTGGCGCCGAGATCGCGGGCAAGTTCCTGCCCGAGGGCACCGTGGTCGGGTGCAACGCGTGGACCGTGCACCGGGACAAGGCGCTGTACGGGGAGGATGCGGACGAGTGGGTGCCGGACCGGTGGCTGGGTCTGGACGAGGAGAAGGTCCGCCGCATGGAGAACTTGAACTTTGCCTTTGGGGGCGGCTCGAGGCTTTGCATCGGCAAGAACATTGCCATGCTGGAGATGACCAAGTTTGTCACGGAGCTTTTCCGTCGCTACGAGATCGAGTTGGTAGATCCGAAACGTTGGAGTTTGCGCCCTGGCTGGCTGGTCGTGCAAGAGGGGCTGGATGTGTACTTGAGGCCGAGGGACCCACAGAGCTTGCTCGAGGGGTAGATAGGTCTTGGTTACGGTGCTAGGCGAGTCGGGAATGGAAAGCTGAAATTGCGGCGGCGTGTGAGTGCAAGCACGGGTGAATACGATGGATCCGAAAAAGAAAGAAAAAAACAAGTCCAAAATATAAGCTATACACTTTGATTCTAGGCCTAACATATTCCTTCCCCATTAATCCATTTCTTTGTCACGGTAAGAGAGTCAAGACGGATGAGCGTGCTTAGTAGTATTGAGGGAAAACAGGGAATGATGTGTGGGAGGTTGTGCGAGGTTAACTGTACGAGATAATTTGAACAAACACCTTCGTCCAAATACACAAACAACCCACGTTAGAACAACGGCCTACCTGCGTATGCCGTGGTTGAACACGGTCAGCCGAAGGAGTTTCTAAATCATCGCTGTTGATTTCTACTTGCTGGATTCGTAGAGGCCACCTGCATTGCATCCAACCGAGGAAGAGAACACCATGTAATTACGAGCAGGTTAGAGGAACACATTTCCCATTCCTGGCAGGAGCTTCCAGTTCATCGTTGTGGATTTTTCGCTTGCTGGATTCGTAGGCCACCTCTGTTCGACCGAGGAAACCAGGGAACAGCATGTTCGAGCGGGGTCCGACGAACGCATAATTCCGAGCCACCTCGGCGGGCAGGGCTCCACAAATCAGTACACCACATCACGGCCTTATCAAGGCCAGGGCGGAGATGTATCACCGTGCGCGCCACCTTTACCGACGCTGCGACAAAAATAATTAGGATAACAAATAGCCTTTTTAAAGATAAAAAAAAGAAAACGGTCCTGTACTTGACTTGGTCTGCGTGCTTGGAAGGATTGACAGCTAAGCCATTCCATTATTACTTCCAGACAGAGAACTCGACAACCATGGCTATCGACAGCAACCCCAAGACAGACGGAGCCAATGGAGCAAACGGCGGAGCTGCCAATGGAGCAAACGGCGGAGCTGCCAATGGAGCAAACGGCGGAGCTGCCAATGGCTTCGCGTCCGAGAGGCCCAAGCCCATCGAGGCCACAGCGGCGTACGAAAAGCATCCTCTCGCATACGAACTCTCAAAGATTCCATTTCTATCTCCGCGCCGTCTGAAAGTCATTGTCGCCGGCGCTGGGGCCAGTGCTTTGTCGTTCGCACACGAGGTGCAGGCTGGTAGAATCAAGAACATCGACCTGCAGATCCTGGAAAAGAATAGTGGATTGGGTGGTACTTGGTTTGAGAACCGGTACCCGGGCTGCGCGTGCGACATTCCCGCCCACGCCTATTTGGTAATTAAATGAGAACCCAACACCCCCACCCCCCAACCCCAGTCCTCACAAGGTGCTGACTGTACTATAGTTTACATGGGCGCCCAACCCGAACTGGTCCGAGTACTATGTGACCGGCCCCGAGATCCTGCAGTACATGGAAGACGTCGCAGACAACTACAATCTGAGGCAGTATATCACGACATGTCGCAAAGTGGTGGGTGCCCGTTGGATCGACGAGAAGCAGAAATGGCAAGTCATCAGCAAGAACACGGACGGCCGCAGGAATGCCGTGTCCTCCTGGGGCATCACCGATGGGGAAGTTGGAGATGATATCGTCGAAGAATGCGACATCTTCATCAACGCCAGCGGCTTTTTCAACCACTGGAGATGGCCCGACACCCCCGGAAGGGAGAAATTCAAGGGAATCATGGCACACAGCGCCAACTATGATCCTGGATTGGACCTGCGGGGCAAACGGGTCGCCGTGATTGGCAACGGCAGCAGTGGTATCCAGGTGACTGCTGCGGTGCAGAAAGTGGCCAAGACCATGTCTGTCTACATGCGCCATCCTACCTGGATTACCGCCAGCCTGGGCTCCAAGTTTGTCCCCGATGGGAACAACATCAAGTTCACCGAAGAGCAGAGAGCCCACTGGGCAAAGCATTCAGACGAATATCTGGAATATCGCAAAGCTGTCGAGAACGAACTAAACAGCGGGTTCCCGTTCTTTATCCAGGAGACGAAAGCCCAACAAGACGCCTTGGATTTCACCGTCAAAGACATGCGTCAACGGCTCTCGCCGAAACCTGAACTGGCAGATAAGCTTGTACCGGGTTACCCTATCGGATGTCGGAGGCCCACGCCCGGCACCGGTTACTTGGAGGCTCTCTGCGCAGACAACTGCGAGATCGTCTGGGGCGAGTTGGACAGCTTCACCGAAAAGGGTATCAGATCTGCAGACGGTTCTGAACGGGAATTCGACGTCATCATCTGTGCCACGGGCTTCGACATGTCATTCACTCCTCGGTGGCCCATCATTGGCAAGAACGGCGTCGACCTGCAGAAGAAGTGGAAGGAAGATCCAGCCTGTTATCTCTCGGCGATTGCAAACGACATGCCCAATTATTTCCTATACCTGGGGCCCGGTAGCCCTGTCGGGCATGGCAGTCTGCTCCCGTCTATCGAGCGAGTCACTCTTTACGTCTGCGACCTGATCAACAAGCTCCAAACGCAGAACTACAGCTCTTTCCTGCTGAAGCCCGGAAAAGCCAAGGCATGGCAGGCGCACATGTTCGCATGGCTGGAGAAAACTGTGTGGGGCTGCGACTGCCAGAGCTCCTTCAAGAACGGGACAGTCAACGGGCCGTTGCATGCCTTCCACCCGGGCTCGCGGCTGCATTACTTTGAGTTGTTGAGGCTTCACAGGTATGAGGATTTCGAATGGACGAGTCGTTGTCCAGAGCCCGAGTTGGACTTTGCGTGGCTGGCCAGCGGGTTTATGAAGGAGGAGTTGCATCACGAGGGCGAAGATACAGCGTAAGCTTACCCTCCATATTGTGCTGCTGCTATTACCTACCGGAGACTAATTATTTCATCACAGGTGGTATATGAACCACCCCCACGAGGTCCTCACGTCCTTCGTCCCACCTCGGCTTCAAGGAATTTCTGCCCAAACAATCCCAGACCCGACTCAGAAGTAACCATCGATATTGGACACCAAACCATGCAATTACAGCAACACATGAGAGAGAGGTCGGGATACTTAACGGTACTGTACTTTCAATAATGGAGGTGTGAAAACAATTTGGGCATTCTGTAGTAGGTAGGAGGAATATGGTAGAAATACAATATCAAGAATGGTAACAATAACTAGCCGAGCCGCAAGTGTGTTGAAAGGAACGGGCAGTGGCGTTCTGTTCTCTCTCTCTCTACCCCCGCATGTGGTCAAGTGTGTGTAGTCTTTCTTCTGCATGTGAGACTGCACAGATAGAGAAAGGAGAAGGGACACACAATCTTTCCCCTTTTCAGTACAGATAACATGATCATCAAGCTGGTGCTGAGGACAGCGGGAACCGAGTAGCTGCCAAAGGCATCAATGGTAATTAGTAGTCAGTAATTACGCCGCACGTATACAAGGAACAAAACAATCACCTAAAGATGAGGGGGGAAATATAAAAAGGGAGAACAGAAAGAATGGCTAGTAAGGAGGAAGACGGTTTGGTTCAATGAAAGATATAACAACTAATTACCTGGTCGACAATTTATAAGACACGCTTGTTTCTGCATAGAAACGCTTGAAATATCTTCGATCTAGTGCACTTCCTATACGAAACGTAGCTAAGTACATCCAGGTTGCTGCAAGTAATATGCGAGATCTCCACCGCTCTCCTCTCTTTCGGTTTTTCCTGCTCCTAAAAATTGGAACCGATTGCCTGTCAAGTATTCGATATCATAATCCTCCCATCGGGGAGTCGACATTAGTTCAAGGAACTGTATCGACGATCCACACCATGGACCCCACACTTTCCCGTCCACCTTTCCATTTTTGTACCTGACCGTCTCGGTCGTCAGTTCTGTCCGTCATATATAGGAAGACATGGGAAAACGTAAGGTGCCCAACGTACCATGATCGACACCCCGAAGTCCATACGAGGTCTTTCATGAGGGCGTCTTTGTGTTCCTGGAAATCATCCACGGCTTCCGGTTTCGGTGTCAGGCCTTTGATGCCCTCTCGCTGGATCTTCTGCGCAGCGGCCAAAGCGTACGAAATGCATTGCTCCAGGCAAGGAACAAGGGCACCATTCGCAAGAGGAAAGTTGGGGCCGCTCGCAACTATTTGTATCGAACCAGAAAGGGTTAGTTAGCTCATCTGTTTTCCTCATATCTGGAACCGATCCAACATGGAAGTAACATACGGAAGTAGTTCGGAAATCCACTAGCGGTCACAGACAGATACGACCGAGGTTCGTCTTTCCACACGTCGCCCAAGTCTTTGCCCTGTTGACCGATGACTGGAAAGGCCGGACAGAAGGACGTATCGAATCCGGTGGCGCAGATGATTGAGTCTAGGGTAAAGATGGTGCCATCTTGCATTTGGATTCCTTCCGGAACGATCTTCAAGATCTGGTCAGTCCTGACCTCGACGTTATCCGCAGAGAGTGCCTCAAGGTAACCGTGACCAGGCGTGATCCTGAATGGAATGGTCAGCCACTGTATAATTACCTCGGGCCGGGTATGAATGATGCCGAACATCTGAAAACGTCATGTCTTACCTGCGGCATCCAAGAGCAAAGTCAGGAATCAGCTTCTCCGCCAGCCCGGGCTTCGTCAGACGCGCCTCCATCTGCTCCCTGTTCGTCGTAAACGCCTCCCTCTGAGCTTCGGAATCCTTGTACTGCATGTCGAAGAACTGGTTCATGGTTCCCTCTATCTTCTTGCGATATTGCAGGAACTCCTCCGGATTCTTCTCCCAGGCAGCCTTTTGCTCCTCAGAGAACTTCTCATCCCTACTGGCCGCTGCCACTTGCGCCGCAAACTCGGGAGTGATCCAAGTTTTGGAACGGTTGAAAGATATCAGAGATTTGGCGACTGCTCTTTGGTCAGGACAAGGAAGGGGACATTCAGGGGGGGGAGGAGGGACCAACTCGGTTGTATCTTCGGCACAATCTGAATAGCAGAGGAACCGCACCCTATGACTGCGACGGTCTTGCCTTGGAAGGAATACGAATCATCCCACCTGGCCGAGTGTGCCAAGTGCCCTTTGAAAGATTGCAGCCCGGGAATCTCTGGCCACTTCCATTTGCTGGTAAAAAAAAACATTAGCCATGCTGTCATTGTCATTGGCCACGCAGGGCGACCGTCGACCTTGGAAAAATCGTACTTCAAGAACCCACAGGCGTTTATGAAGACTTCTGCCTTGTCGACGAACGTTTTCCCCGTCTTGAGGTCTTCAACTTCGATTTCCCATTGTCCAGCCTTTCCATTCCACGTGGCACCGATCACGCGGTGCTCCAGCTGCACGAAATCAAAGACACCGTATGCCTTTGCTCGGCCTTTGAAGTAGTCGAAGAGTTCCTCAGCGCCGACATAAGCCTTCGACCAGCGCGGATTGCCCTCCCACGAGAACGTGTACGCGTGTGCCGGTACATCGCAAGAGCAGCTTCATTGAATCAGCAAATCGCGCCTTCAAACTGTCCCAACACTGCCAGATATTGTTTTTGCCTTACCCTGGATACCGATTCTCGAGCCACGTTCCCCCGACATCCGCATTCTTTTCGTATATCTGTAACTCGGTCGGCTGCCCGTTGAACCTTTCCTTGAAGAGCTTGACGGCGGCAATTCCGGACAGCCCGGCGCCAGCGACGATGATGCGAATCGGCCTTGGCTTGGCAAGCGGTTGGTGCGAGTAGCGATACTGGGAGCCAGCGCCATCGGTGCCGTTGACACCGTTGACGCCGTTCACTCCGACCGTGTCGTGGACTTTCTCGTTCGTCATTTTGCGTTATCGGGGGGAGGGGGGGGGAGGCGAGCTCGAGTGAGGACGCATAATGCGACAAGCAAGCCATGTACCTTATTAGCAGATATAATGTTGGGCCCCTTCCCCGGATTTTGCCCTCAGCCAGCCGCGCTCCATCGTGGCCATGCTTTTCCGTCAAACGATCGTTGGGGAGTGGTTAGTGGACTGAGGGGGTGGGCCCGGAATTAGGGGGTAGCACTGCCGAGGTGCCGAAAAGGCAAACCTGACCAGGTAACTCACTCTCGATCAGCAGGTGCCTCGATCCACATGTCGTACGACCCCTCCACTGACATAGATCAGACTCGAAATTTATGTCAGGCATTTCGGGGATGGTCCTTCTTCCACAGCAACCGAGGCCCCGGAGCACGGGCGGACGGACCTGCCTGCAGGCCGCGATCCCGTGCTTGCGCCTTTGCGCTTCCGGTTCGGACAGCCAGCTGCTGCTCTCGCAGGAGAAGATGGAGGTGTAAGGAAATAGGTACCCAAGGCATCGCGATGCGATGCTGGCTCAGGGAGTCCCTTGGTGTTGGAGGAGTCCAGACCGGAACGATGTTGTTCTGGTACTGTTCTAGGCAGGAGCCCTCGGCGACCGAGCGGAAAGCAGGCAGAAACTGTGAGAGATTAAACCACTGAGACCGAAAAAAGGGTGTTTACTTTTAGGTTGTATGTCTCGTGAATGCTACATTCTTGGGTAGCAAACATTTGATAATGACGCCAAGCTAATATCCGTGACCACGTGGTTTAATTGCGAAGAGAAAAGGTTAAATTTGTGCTTGTAGATATGTAATTACAAGGCACTGGGTATGCAAGCCGTATGCGTACAGTCTGGGCTAATTATTATTCATCTTCCATACAAGAACCTATGCTCATTGCCGTGCCCTAGCTCAGCCGCTATTGACGCCGGAAAATTGACCTCGAAACCATCTCCAGTATTCGTGACACAGCCTGGCGTGCGGCCACCCACTGGGCGGGAAAGAACCTCGACCACCCAACAACCGCAATATAGGCCGCGGCAATGAGATACACGCCCTTGTGCAGTCTGAGCCATCGTCTCAGTGTTTTAAGCGGCCAAAGAGGGGATCCGTCGACCAAACAGAAGTCCTTGAAGTTGGGGAAGTATGACTGCATCCAGAACGTTGATGCATAACCAGGCCACGAAGCTACGTTGCGTCCGAATTTGTTGAGGTACCAATTCGTGCATCCAGCGGAGAAAACAGAACCCTTCAGCTCGTTCTGGATCGAATTGACCCATTGGTCCTCAGAGGACAACTTGACCTCGACAATCTTGGCGCGTCCGTCAAGTACTGGGGCAAGGAGTGTCTTTGCAACATATTCGATCTGGACTTCGCATGAGAACAAGGCAGAGTTGTGGGCCGGAAACGTGTTCGGCCCAAAGCTGGAAACTTCCGTTAGTAACTCAACTCAGACACAGGCAGCAAGCGGCTGGCTTCTTACAGGATACCAAAATTGGGGAAATTATGGACGAAAGTGCCCATGTAGGCCTGAGCTCCGCGGCCGTCATCCCACTGGTCGTGGAGGCGCTTTCCGCTTGCTCCAACGACCTCCATTGGTGCTAGGAACTGTGCGACCTGGAAGCCAGTGGCCAGCACGATGAGGTCGAAGTCGGTCTTCACTCCATCCTCGCTGATGATACCAGTCTCGTCGAATTCTTGGATTCCCAATGGCACAAGGTCGACGGTTGGGCGGTGCAGCGATTGCAAGTAGTCTGGGTCGAAGATACGACGTTTGCAGCCCTGGAAATTGTCAGCTTACGAATCCCGATTCAGCGAAGCGACTACTGCTCACAAGAGGAAAGTCAGGGACAATAAACTCATGGTATTTGTCAGGAGTCCGAGAATATATGTATCGCTTTGCGTTGCTTTCCACCTTCTCTCTCTTGACGGCTGCGTCATCTCCTGGCATGTAGGTCGTGACCAGGTTGTCATTCTCGAGGAAGAGCTGGAGGCGAAGATACCGCTGCCAAAGAGGAATGTACTTGAAGCACCATTTCTCGAAGCCCGTGAATGCGCGGTTTGGCCGTTCGTGATACCACTGAGCGCTCCTTGCGTACTGCTTGACGTAGCCTGCCCTTCCGGCAATAGCAGGGACGACTTGTGCTGCGCTGCAGCCGTTGCCGATGACCGCAACACGCTTGCCAGTGTAATCATAGCTGTGATCCCATTTTGCCGTATGGAACATGGCGCCTTTGAACTTGTCCATGCCTGGAAACTTGACGTCTCGCGGGAGAGAGATGCCCCCAACGGCAGATATGAAGATGGCGGCATGTCGCGTGTACTCCTTGCCGCTAGTAAGGTCGCGGAATCGGACTTCCCAATATCCAGCGCTCTTGTTCCAAGAAGCGCCGGTACATTCCACTTTGAAATGCATGTGTTTCCTCAGGTCGAATTTGTCGACGGTTGAATTCATATCTAGATATGTCAGGTCCATGCTCTGTTCGGCGACCACGAGTTTTGCGCACATACAATCGAGGATTTCTGGTTGATCACACAGCTCTTTCGACCAGTCGGGATTCAGGTTGAAGCTGAACGAGTACAGGTGGGTCGGCACGTCGCAGCCACTGCATTGTGTGAATTAGCAAAGCCCAGTCGTTACTGGGGTGCAGGCGTGAAACCTACCAGCCAGGGTACGTGTTGGTCAGCCACGTTCCTCCAACACCCGGTAGCTTCTCGTAGACAAGGAAATCGTCGCATCCCAGCTTATACTTCAGCGTGTGGGCCATGGCAATGCCAGAGGGTCCCGCGCCCACGATGATCACATTCGGGGTTTGCTGATACGTCGACATGGCAATGGTAGAGAGACCAGCTCACTGGTGCTGACGGATTGGTCCCTGAATGCCGTGCGACTTGGCTATAGGATATTTAAAGCTATAGGAGAAGTCCTGCATTTGAAAAAGCTGGAGTGGACTCGGCCCGGGTCCGCGTGGGGTTAGGGGGATGGAGGGGGGAGCAGCCGACATGCCAAGTCTTGGCGTTCCCCGCACCCCGGCTCCCACTCCCAGTCTCGGAGATGACAATTCCGAGGACAGAGCTATCATTGCCGAGTACAAACCTCATGGTACCGGATTTCCGAAGTACGTATGGGCATGGTGCGACGATGGATGGCTGGAACCTCCCCCCTTGCAAGGCAGCTGCAGCCCCGTGGTGTGCTGGATGCTGTCTGTCAGGGGAACTTCCTGCGGACTACTTCGGGACGAGGCACTCAGTCAGCGCTAGTCCAGAAGAGGGGACTTTAATCGGCGCCACACCTCCTATCGCTCTCACCAAAACTCTACTCTTCCAGGGTCTCCATGCGTGGTACTTTTCGTTACTGGATTTCTCATCGATAGACGGCTGGCCTTGACGCTGTTCGATAATTACTCCCTGATTTTGCGGATCGATCCTCTGTGCGATTTTATGCTAGACGAAACAACACGATGCCAACCAAACCGCCGTCACGGGTCGATATTCCGGAGGTGGATATCTGGGGTCTGATGTTTGAGTCGGGCCATCATCACATGCCAGATGATCATGGTAAGCCACCCCCCCGACGTGCAATTGCTTTACAAGTCTTGTTCCCTGTGCTGAGTTTAATAATACTCGCAGTCCAATACATCTCTGCCGAGAGCGGACGGAGCTATACGATTGGCCAAGTCAGACATACAGCAATACGGTTCGGTCAATGCCTGAGGGCAAAGTGGTCCTGGAAGCAGGGAGACATCCTTGCTTTCTTCACTCCGAATTGCATTGACTTCCCATCCCTCGCTTGGGGATGTCACTGGGCCGGAGGCATCATCTCCCCGGCAAACCCGTCGTACACGCCTGACGAGTTGGCTTATCAGCTGAAGGACTGCGGAGCCAAGGCAATTGTGACGCAGAATGCATACCTGGACACGGTTGTCCAAGCTGGAGAGCAGGTCGGATTCGACCTCAGCAAAATCATCCTCATTGGTGACCAGCAGAGTCCGCAGTCGCAAGCCATCACGCTGTCTTCGTTTCTCAAAGGGGACATTTCCACCAGCGGCCAGAGGACAAAGGTCAATCCCCGATCCGACCTTGCTTTCCTGGTGTATTCTTCTGGAACGACCGGGCTGCCAAAGGGGGTTATGCTAACTCATTCCAACGTGGTCTCCAACATATGTATGCTGAATGCGGTGGAGGGATGCAATCTCAAGTCCCCAAATGATACAGTGCTCGCTGTTCTTCCATTCTATCACATCTACGGTGAGTTCTTCCCCTTGCATGTCAACAACAGTTTACTCACTCACAGTTGGTGGTGACAGGCCTCACAACTCTCTTACACCTTTGCACGTATCTGCGCCTTACCATGGTGATCATGGCCAGCTTCGGCATGGAGCCCTTCTGTCAACTTGTGCAAAAGTACCGCATCACTTATACTTACCTCGCACCCCCCGTTGTCCTCCATCTCGCGAAGCATCCCGTGGTCGGAAAATACGATGTCTCCTCCCTCCGCATGATTACCTCAGGGGGGGCACCGTTGACAAGAGATTTGATTGAGGCTGTATACGAACGACTGAAGATTCCCACTAAACAGGCCTATGGGCTTTCTGAGACTAGCCCTGTTACTCACATACAGGTAAGAAGAGATGAGGATGTGGTTATTGTTTTCTTTTTTTTTTCTTCTTTTCTTCTTTTTTTCTTTTTTTTTTTTTTCCAGAGATGAAGCTAAGAGATATTCATGTTCCAGTCCTGGGATACTTGGCGCACTGCCATAGGCTCTGTAGGCGCAGCACTTCCAAATCTGACCACGAAATACATTTCGCTGGAGGGACATGAACTCCCCAAAGGAGAGGCGGGAGAGCTGTGCATAAAAGGCCCCACCGTCTTCAAAGGATATCTCAACAAGCCGGATGCCACGGCCAAGACGATGACGTCGGACGGATTCTTCGCAACTGGAGACATCGGCTACGAAGACGCCGAGGGGAACCTGTACATCACGGATCGCATCAAGGAGTTGATCAAGTACAAAGGCTTCCAGGTTGCCCCGGCGGAACTGGAAGGTCTGCTAGTTGCACACCCGCAAGTCAAGGACGTGGCAGTCATTGGGGTGTACCACGAGGCCATGGCCACGGAAATACCAAAGGCGTATGTGGTGACGGTGGAAAACGCCCAGCAGGACAGGGCTCTTGCTCAGACGCTTGTGCATTGGCTGGACGCCCGCGTGGCTCCGCATAAACGCCTTCGTGGTGGGATTGAGTTCACCGAGGAGATCCCTAGAAGTGCGGCAGGGAAGATCCTACGTCGGCTGCTGAGGCATCGGGCTAAAGAACCAGCGCGTAGCTTATTGTAGTTCCTTACCTATACATTGCTTGGTTAATTACATGGAGCCATGGAGATTGAGATTGATGGGCAATGCATGTGTTAGAATTCCGAGCTTCTTGGGAGTGAGTACCCCTGCGACTTCCAAGCCATCTTTCCATTCATCCGGAGCTCAGCCCAAGCAGTATGGACTGCGGTTTTCCAAGCCAAGCCCTCGGACTTTTGCGGAGCTTAGTTGTGGCGCAGGCACAGTAGTAGCGAGGTCTACGAGTGATCCCACCTTATGGTTCTAGGCCCCCCTGCCAAGCGGCTATCAGCTCAGCTCGGAACACTAACTCCAGCTAACCAAACCCGCGGGATTGTGGAGTTGTGGAGCATCTTACCATTGTCTGGGGTGCGGGGTAATTACTTTCTGGGGTATTAAGGGGTATGTACCTTGGGCAGGGTTTAATTAGGTACCTTTTCCAATAATGTATAAGTAAGCATGGCTAAGACAAAGTGAATGCATAGAAACATGCTTGTGTCACATTTCATATTCCATCAGCAGCAATACCAACTAGTCAAAGACGACGACTCAACATGGATGCTCAAGGAGCGAATACGTCCTCCGGCGAGTTCGAAAAGAAGCAACTCCAACTCAACATGGATCGCCAAGTGACGAATACGACCTCTGGCGGGCTCGAAAAGAAGCGCCACTTCAAGGCCTATACAGTCTTCATATGCATTTGTATGAGCTTCGGCTCTGTTGCCATGGGCATGGCCGGCTCGGTCATCAGCACGACACTCGGCCAGCCATCCTTTATCAAGAAAATGGGCCTCGACGGTCCGCATGCGGAAGCCATCTCGGGCGCTATGAACAGTCTCTATTACACCGGCGGCGTCGCGGGCGCCATCTGCCATGGCTGGGTAGCTAATCGATATGGCCGCAAGTTTTCCATTGCCATGGGGTCGGCAATCCTCGTCATTTCTCAAGCGCTCCTGTGTGGATCCGTCAATGCGGCCATGTTCATCGTGTTCCGATTCTTCTCCGGCTGGGGGTAAATTAATGATTAATCAACCCGTCCTCTTTAGCCCATGTATAGCTAACCCAGCTCCCTCCAGCTCCTTCCAAAATGTCTGTGGCATCCCGCTCTGGATCACCGAGATCGCCCCTCCTCGGAACCGCGGTATGCTCGCTGATATCCACGCCATTTCTATCAACGTTGGTTACACAATCATCGGCTTTATCGGCGTCGGATTCTATTTCTACCAGTCGGAAAACGCATGGCGTGCACCGCTTGGCCTGACGATACTGCCACCTCTGCTGCTGCTCTGCATCATCTACTGGTTGCCCGAGTCTCCGCGTTATCTCATTTCGAAAGACCGACATGAAGAGGCATGGGCAATCATCCACCGCCTACATTCCGACCCGAACGATCCCGCCGATGAGTTTGCAAAGCGCGAGTACTATCAGATGTTCAAACAGATCCGCTTTGACTGGACCCTGAAGACCAGTTACTGGGAGATTTTCAAGCGGCCTTCTTACAGAAAGCGTGCTTACATGTCAATGATATTGGCTTTCTGTATCATGAGCTCCGGATTGATTACGATTCAGAGTAATTCCCACCCTTCGAATATTGTATGCGTCCGTCTTCTAATGCATTAAATACAGATTACGGCGTTAGTCTGTACGCTGGTCTGGGCTACACTGGCGTGGACTCTCTGCTACTTCAGGCTGGTTATACTGCCTGCTCGCTTACCACGAGTGCGATAGCCATGATCTACGTCGACCGTGTCAAGCGAAACTGGCTCATGGCTACGGGCTTTGCTGCTTGCACGGTGTCATTGATCATCTATACCGCCCTCGTGAAGAACTTCCTCGGCACAGACAACAAGGCCGGCCAATCCGCCGCCGTGGCCATGCTCTTCCTGTTCGTCAGCTCCTTCGAGCTCACGCTGGAGGGGCCCGAGTTCTTCTACCAGGCGGAGATCTGGCCGAGCCATCTGCGCGCCCAAGGCTTCACCATCTTCATGGTCGTCTACAACGGCATCAACATCTGCTGGCTTCAGGCCGCACCCACCGCGTTCGCGAACATTGGTTGGCACTACTACATCCTGTTTATCATCTTCGCTTTCACGGGTGCCGTCACCGTGGCGCTGTGGTTTCCCGACACGCTGCACAAGCCCTTGGAGGAAATTGCGGCCATGTTTGGAGACCACGATCTGGTGGTCGTCTATCAGAAGGATATAAACACTGCTCACATTCCCCTTGCCACCATTGAGGAGGTTATTCCAGGCATGGGCTCTAAGCGTGTTGTGCCAGAGGCGGAGAAAGAGGCTGCAACGGGGGATGAAGTGGAAGGCGTCTCTGCTGTGTGATACTATGATGTGAGGAAGATCACATCGTTCTCAAGACTCTAGAAGAAAGAGTCTGGCCGTTCGCTTGGAGGAGACTGTTCAGCTGGAACTTCGATTCAAGCGCTTATACTGTTTCCCATTGTTGTCGACTGCGTGGGTTAATACATTCCCCATTTCCTATTTCCTCTTCAAACTGATTCTCTCTTCCGCAGTAGCGGTTTGTTTCAAAACCCAGACAGAGCTTAGCTTACTCTCTGGAAACAAGAACAGAGGAACTCGGAATTAGTTAGCGGCTCATTACTGAGCCGCCGAAGGTTTTCTCTAATTATTCACGCTACCTCGACGTGCATCATACGTTCAGATCCATTTCCATGTGATGACGGAAATACATAATAATATTCACCGAGCTCACCATGCCTTCCAACAATAGACAGACAGTCAGGTTGCGCCTCTGACCACTCACTTGCATATAAAAAACCACCAAATCCGACTCTAGGCAGGGGCTTCCCCATCAGCCATATATATGGAATCAATAAAAGGTAGTCGTAAGATCAGGAGGTATCCAGGACGTATTCAGGTAATTAGCTGATGCCACATGAGCAGCTCAATCAATTCAGACTCTCTTTAATAGCTTCAAATCTACCGGGCTTTCACCACAAGATTCAATGATGCCCAATGTGCATCACTTCGAGAAGAAATAGCAAAGCCTCCGCTAGCGGATATCATGAAAGCCGCCATCACACACGATTAACGAGCCATTCACATAGCTGCTCTCGTCACTGAGCAGGAAACTCATCACGTTAGCCTGCTCCTGCGGAAACGCCATCCTCCTCAGCCCGATCTGCTGATTGACCGCGGACTCCTCACTGGCCTTCGAACCCGCCTTCCCCTCCTCGCCCATTGAATGCTCGATCATGGCAGTGAGCGTCCAACCAGGGCAGATGGCATTGATGCGGATCCCGTCGGGCCCGTAAAACTTGGCGCCATTTTTCGTGATCCCTACGGCGGCGTACTTGCTAGGCGTGTACGCAGCGAGGCCTACAGCGTGAAGGCCGGAGATGGATGCTATGTTTGCGATGGCGCCGCGCTGGGGCTTGATAGGGAAGGTAGCAGGCGGTGTGGACTGCACCGGCCGAGGTTCTTGGGTTCGCATCTGGAGAGCTTCGTGTTTCTGACAAAGCCATAAACCGCGGGCGTTCACGGCGTAAGTCCTGTAGGTGGGGGGGGGAAGGGGGGAAGACATATCCATCAGCCACCACTTTTGCTGACTTGCACTGCTTGGTTGGCTTCCTCACCTGTCAAAGAGTTCCGTAGTGATGCTCTCCTCCTCCTCCCACACCTTCTCACAAATCCCCGCACAATTCGCTGCGTAATCGAGCCGCCCTGTCCGCTTCGCGGCCATATCCACGAGCCGCTTGACTTCGCCCTCCTGGCGCACGTCTACACGGTGGTACTCGACGGGGACTCGGTATTCCTGTGCGATGCTACGCGCGACCGCCGTTCCTCGCTCGTGCTGCATGTCGGCGATGAACAGCCCGATTCCGCGACTGGCCAGCTTTCGACATATGGCTTCTCCGATGCCTGACGCTCCGCCGGTCACGAGTGCAGTCAGTGTCATGTTGCTGATTCCGGTGGTGTTGGGTCTGAGATCCGTTGTGTAGTCCAGTTACAGCACAGTGGTTGCCGTGGGCTGGCTTGTTTGGGGATGTTCTCTTCTGTGTTTCGTCATTACAAAACAAGTCCAATTAGTCTTGTAACCCTGGAACTTGATCCAATCCCCTCGGTCAATGCGCTCTTGATGCGGTTCGGAATTGCAATGCCATGTTTCTCGCCTTAACGGTTCCCCGCAAATCCATGTTAGCACCCCTGACGACCGCCCCCCGCAAATCGCCATTGCCGAAAACTGAATGCCGCAGGACCCACTCAAAAATAAGCAGAACCTATTGGCTGGATCTGATCTGTAGGAAAAGCATTGGTAATTTATTCGTGACTTCATTGGCCGTCAGGATCTCTCTGTGTTGGAAGCCCTAGCGCTAATATCCAATTGGGTTAGCTACCCCGGCGGAGGTATAGTACATGATTACATGTAATTATACACACGCTAACCTGCTCAGGCATGGAAAAAGTACCAGTCCACATATAGGAAGGAATCCTTACGAATAATCCCAAAAAAGGATCCTTCTCCGGCCGCCGGAATTTCCTCCCCAGGATCTCAAAGGTTAACGTGGCAGGGGTGAATGAAGTACAGGCCGCCCTTCTCTAGACCGTAGATAGCCTGTGATAGCATCGCGTAAGACTCTTATGGTCACGAACGAATGTCAAACCCAAATTTTTTTTTTTTTTTTTGCATGGAAAATCTCCACTCTTTACTGCCCTAGAATCACACAAGATGCTGATACACGGCACTCTCCACCGCGCCAATCAGCTCTCCGACCCTCGCATCAGACGACGGCATGATCTGCGTACAAATCATCCCGGCAACGCCCTTCTCACGATCAAGCCACCACCAGAGGTTCGGCAGCCCCGCCCAGTGGACGGCATTCGCCCCGCGACCCGTCGCGCTCGGATGCGGGGTGATCATAAAGGTCAGGCCCCAGCCCTGCGGCTGGTCGGGCGGCTGCGGGAAGAACTCGTCGACGGGGGCGACGAGGTCGGGCTTCGCGGCCGGGTAGTGCTTGCGCGCGAGGTTGGGCATGTGTGGGAGCTGGTTGGTGAACATTTCTTCCGTGGTGGACTTTTGCAGGATGCGCGCTCCGGTCCGAGGGGAGACGCCGCTGTTTAGGAGCGCTGCGAGGATTTCTGGCCCCCGTGCGTGTGTGTGTCAGTGGTTGGGTTTGTTTGACAGAGGATATTGTGCGTGGCCTAGCTAGATGCGTCTAGATAACACTAGAATGGGCGAGAGACGGTTACTCACGGCAAAACTCCCCTGGCTGGGCGAAACATCCCGCACCGCCGCTGTTGAGGCATCTCTTGGCGTCGTCGGCGTCCACAGTAAGGGAGCGGTGCATGAGATGGTCGCGGAGCGAGACGGTGCCGTCCACGGCCCGTTGGTGCATATACGCTAGATGCTTCCTCATCTGCGCGGTCGGGAACATGGTGATATTCTTGAGTCCAAGCGGGTCGAATATGTGCTTCTGCATATAGTCGTTCAAGCGCATATTCGTGACGCGTTCTAGAGCCACACCAGCCCAATCTAGGTTGACCTGGATGGAAGGGTTAGTTAGGAGTTGCTGTGGTTGGGCAGCACATGGTTAATTAACTTACTCCGTAGTTGAACTCTTCACCTGGCTGCGCTATCAACGGCTGCAGCAGGTCACAGAATTGCCCCGAGAACTCATCATATCCGACCGGTCGCCCAAATTCCGCGAGTTTTGTGTTGTAGAAGGTATAGCCAAACCCCGCTACTCGGAGAATCGAATCAGCAAAGCATCTCCGGAAATGACAAGACATGTCCTCGAGTCACACTCGTACCAGTATGAGTGAGCAGCATGCGCAAGGTAATTCGTCTCTTCTTCTCTTCCATGGCGCCGTCGTCGCGCAGGACCTTGACATCGCGGAGCTCCGGACAAACAGTCTCCAACTGGTCAGCGTCATCCAAAGCGAGCCTCCCCTGCTCCACCAGCTGCATCACCGCAATTCCCGTAATGACCTTGGTGCACGACGCAATCCAGAACATGTTGTCGAGGCTCATGGGCTCGGGTTTTCCCACCCCGCGTTTCCCGGCGGCGTGGGCAAACACTTCGTGGCCGTCCCGGTTGACGACCACCACCGATGCGCCTGGGATGCCATTCGAGGCGCTGCATGCCGCGTCCATCAGCTCGCGCAGGGCCCGGGGGCCGTCGCTGTGTAGGTTGCTGGCTCCCATGGTGAACGGCGCGGATAACAGGAGTATGGGGGTGGCTGGCTTCTTGCTTTGCTTTCACGCTGCCTCTTATTGGATTGTCCCCAACCGGTTTTCCACGACGAACGTCTGTCGTGAGAAGACCCATGGCTAATAATAATTAACTAATACTGGCGTGGTCGGTTACTCCCAACGAGTCTCGGAGATATGCTGGTACGGAGCCGGGTTGTGCAATCCCGCATTGCCGAGCTAGCCAGAGCCCCGGGTTAAGTATGCCGAAGCACGACGTTCTACGGGGTAGCAACATATTAGCCACGGGTACAAGATGTAATTAGGTACAAGATGCAATTCTGCGAACTTGTGGATTCTGATTTCTCATCATCGCTAGACAGCCAGCCATCTATCTATCCATCCGTCTCTATTTGATTGCTAGTGGATTGGCCGGCCCAGCTACGCCACCGACAATATGGATGGGAGCACTTGTAAACAAGAATTCATAGACGCCATCCTTTCGACAGTCCTCGGCCAGGGCCTCTAGGTTGAAGAACTCCCCGATGGGGCAACCCCACAGGGACAAGATGGTCTCGTGCAGTTTCGTCTTAGTCGGCCAGCTCTCGAACGTCGGCGCATCGCTCGCCACCGCAGCAAAGTGATTGTCCCAGAGCCACTCGAGGCTTCTCTCCTCGTTTGCCAGCCCCACCAACTGGACGTTTGGCCCCTGAGCCGTCCAAGCCTGCTTCTGGATCGTGCCCGTCTTGAGATAACCCGCCGTCCACCCGAAGCGGACCAGCAGGATATCCCCCGTCTGGAAGGTCGTCCCCTGGGATTCGGCGACGCGCTGGAGCTCATCGGCGGTCACAGACCTCTCATCGCCGGTACCTCGGAAGCCCCCAGTCCCTTGCTTGTCGCACCAGCCCTTGTAGTCCAGCAGAACGCCTCTGCCCACGATCCCCTCGCGCGCATAGTTCTGCATGCCCAAGCGATCCGTGGCCTGCGGGCCGACAAACTCGTCGGCGCTCACGCCGTTGTAGAACCGCGGCTCCATCGGGTCGCGGCCGGCCATGTGCGCGAAGTGCCGCAGGCCGTCCCAGTGCGTCGAGCTCTGCGTGTTCATCACTAGGTGGTCGTCGAATGCCGGATAGCCTTTCTTGATGATCTTGTGTTCCGCCACCGGCCTGTTGAAGAAGGAGTCCGACGGCTGCCGGTTCAGCGGTAGTGACAGTCCAAAGGACTTGCCCTGGCGTACTAGCCGTGCGGCGGCTTTGCGCCGCGACGGCGTGAGAAGGTTGAGCGTCCCGAGCTCGTCCGCGTCGCCCCATAGGCCCCAGGCTGAACCTTTGGGCTCACCGGGCTTGTAGGGTAGGTCGGCCCAGCTAGGCAGATTCTCCGCGGGTGAAGACATGCTGCCTCGTCTATAGGATTGTTTGGAGTTGGTCTTGTGGGGGGGGGGGATCAACCATGACGATGTGGCCGCACGTAGATTTTTATTAAATAAAGTAAATTATTATCGATCAGACGAGACCCCTTCCGAGGTAAGGATGGATACTCGGACCGGCCGACGGAAATGATTTGTCCGGTCAAAATATCCGGCTGTCTAATTGGACATGCCTGCGCCACAATAGATAGACAGGCAACCCTACGAATAATTAGTGGACAATCCGGATTCTGATCCTGATTCTGGGCTGCTCCCTGTTGTGGCTGGCGGGCCAACTTCCTAAACCAGTCCATCTGAGGGACATCTCACACTACTCTAATTAGAGGTTGGACGGCGAACGGGTTCTTGGTCAAATTATATGCACAGAGCAGAAGTTTCTCTGTCCGATACGAGAAAATGATGAGGCGATCGCCCTTTTCAATTAATAACTGTATAAAATTTCCAGCGAGCAAGCAAGCAGCACTGTTGGCTAATTTACGCCCTACATCTTCATCATGACCGTCTTGGTCTCTGTCCATGAGTCCAATGACTTAAACGAAAACTCCCTGCCCTCGCCACTTTGCTTGAAGCCACCAAATGGCATGTCAAACGGCGCCGTGGGAGAAGTGCAGTTGACGCCCACCATGCCCGCCTCCAAGCCCTTGGCGAAGCGCAACACCCGCTTGAGGTCGTTGGTGAAGATGGACGAGTAGAGCCCGTACTCGGTGTCGTTGGCCCGTTGCAGCGCCTCCTCCTCGGTCTCGAACGTGTTGACAACGGCAACGGGCCCAAAGATCTCCTCGCGGTTGATCTGCGAGCCCTCGCCCGGGTCCAGAAACACGGTCGGCTCGATGAAGTAGCCCCTTTCGCCCACGCGCCGCCCTCCGGCGATGGGCTCCAGCCCCTGCGTCCGCGCCGCCTCGATGAAGCCCATGACCGACTGGAATTGCGCCGCATCGGCCTGCGGCGCGTGCGTGGTGTCCGGATCCAGCGCATCGCCCACCTTGCCCATGGCCTTCCGGAACGCGGCCGTGTACGCCTCGACGAAGCGGTCGGCGATCGACGCCTGCACGTACACTCGCGAGCTGGCGTAGCACAGCTGCCCGGAGTTGCCGGCGATGGAGAGCGCGGCCGCCTCTGCCGCGGCTGCGAGGTCGGCGTCCTCGAAGACGATGCACGGCGATTTGCCGCCGAGCTCCAGCGTGACGTGCTTGAGGTTGGACTTGGCCGCGAGCTGCTTGACGATGCGGCCCGTCCGCGTGCTGCCCGTGAAGGCCAGCTTGCGGATCCGCATGTGCGACGCAATGGCCGCGCCTGTCACCGCCCCGAAGCCCGGGAGGATGCTCAGCACGCCTGGGGGGAAGCCGGCCTTGGGGATCAGCTTGGCCACACACAGCGCCGTCAGCGGGGACTTCTCCGACGGCTTCAGCACCAGCGTGTTGCCCGCCGCGAGCGCCGGGCCGACCTTCATGGCAAAGGCCGCCAGCGGGCCGTTCCACGGGATGATGGCGCCGCACACGCCGTACGGCTGGCGCAGCGTCAGATTCAGCATGCCGGCCGTCGACAGGCTCGTCTCGCCGTGCAGCTCCGTGGCCAGCCCGGCGAAGTACTGCAGCAGCGCCGCCGCCCACCGCACCTCTCCTGGGTAGTGTGCCGCCACCTTGCCCATGCTGATGGCCTCGAGGTAGGCCAGCTCGTCCACCGACTCGACCATCAGCTCGGCAAGCCGCCGCAGACAGGCCCCGCGCGCATCGGCAGAGAGCTCTGACCATGCTGGGAAGGCCTTCTCGGCGGCGTCGACGGCGGCATCGACCTCGTTGACGCCCGCTTGGCTCACCTGCGCCGATAGCTCTTCGGTGCTCGGGTTGTAGATGGGGAATTTGTCCGCGGTCTCGACGAACGTGTTGTTGATGAAACAACGCGTCTCGATGGACGTGCTGAATCGGTAAAACGGGCTATTGGGGGGGAGTGTAGTAGGCATGATGGAATAACTAAACCAGGATAGGATGAGTGATACGATCGATATGGAAGGGAGGGGGTCGGGTTAGACAATGTTTGATCTAAGAGCACAAGCACGAGCACGCACATGCACAATCCCACAAGTGACCTTTTCAAGATATGCACCCACGACGCAATAGGTAGTTGAGTTAGAAATATCCGCGTGGCTGCGGGCCCGCTTGTTTTTGTGGCGCGGTGGCTGGCCAAAATCCCCCGGAATTGTGCGCCTCTCCTAGCATCTCCGGCCGAGGTTCTTCAAGCTGCGACTCCGCGGGGGCACTGGGCGCCAGCTCCTCCGGGAAATTTTGCTGGCAGCTTCTGGTGAGTCCAGGCTCGGACTTTTGCACAGGCATAGGGGAATCCCAGACGGGGTCGGTCGTGTCTTTTTTCTTTTTTTCTTTTTTTTTCTTCTTCTTCTGAGATCTGCAACTAGCATCACTTTCTCGCCACTGCACTTCGCTACTGGGCCTGATCGTTGAACATTAGAACGCTCCTGAGCTCTTCTTGTTCAACACCTTTATCCTGCCCATATCAAGATGCAGCGCTTCGGATGTGCGCCGCCCGTCCTTCGTTCCTTGCGGACACCTCTTCCTGTTCCTCCTCGCGTCCCCGTACACCTCCGCAAACGCTACTCAAGCCTGCGCCCGGCCACAGCAGTCATCGGACCATGCAGGCAACCCGGCAGGGCGGCAGCAGCTGCAGCCACAGGTGGCAACAGCGGCCATTTTACGAAAAGGAGGGAGAGCACTCTCCTTAAGCCCGACTCGGCCAGCTGGGTGCAGCCGGTGGACCTGTCCGGCACACAGGAACGTCTCGCATCGTGCCGGGGCAAGATCGCCGTGGTGACGGGCGGGGCACGGGGCATTGGAGCACAGATCGCCCTCGGACTGGCCGAAGCGGGCGCCATCCCGGCCATCTTCGACATCTTGGACGAGCCTGTCGCAGCGGAGTTCGCGCCCATCTTGAAGGCTTGCCCGCAGACCAAGTACTACAAGACCGATGTCTCCTCCCCCGACTCTGTCGCCGCTTCTTACAAAGCCGTCATATCGGACTTCAACCGCGTCGACATCTGCGTCGCAGCCGCCGGCCTCATTCGGGAAACGGCTTTCGTCGACGTGCCGCAGGAGGAGCTGGCTCTGCAGACCCAGGTGAATATAAACGGCGTCTTCAACACGGTGCAGCAGGCGGCCAAGCAGATGATCTCCCAGGGCACCGGCGGATCGTTACTCGTCATCGCGTCCATCGCATCGCACCGCGCTCTACGCGGCCAGCTGGGGAGCGTCTACATCATGACCAAGTGCGCGGTGCGCGGGCTGGTCAAGCAGGTGGCCATCGAGCTGGGCCAGTATGGGATCAGGATCAATTCGCTGTCGCCCGGCTACGTGCAGACGAAGCTGGCTGTCGAGATCGCCACGCCGGAGAAGGTGGAGAGGTGGAATGCGGCGTCGCCGCTCGGCCGCATGGAGAGGCCGGATGAGTTGAAGGCTCCTGCCGTCTTTCTCTGTAGCGATGCGGCCAGCTTTGTCACGGGCACGGATCTTCTGGTCGATGGTGGTGCCACGACGTGATTTGCTGGAGGATATTATAATTTATTTGATCTCTTGGTTTCACTACGTAGTTAATTTAGCTAGTCCCCTCAAACTCGAAACATATTATTATGTGACAAATTATTATACCTAGTCATGTCTGCGTTTGGAAGTGACCCTTGTACACTTCTTGCTCTGAACAACTTCTTGTTCTGAACTGTTCAATATTCTCAGTCTATTCTCAGTCGATACTATCTCGTCTGGCCAAGAACAGGAGGGAGAGAGAGAGAAAAGAATGGACTACGCCCAAAGGTCGACCACGGCCCTACCCGCAATTTCACCACGCCGGAGCATATCCACCGCCTGCGGGATCTCGCTCATCTTGAACTTGGTCACCCTCGGACGAAGCAGTCCGCGTGCGGCAAGGTCAAGCGCTCCCGCACAATCCCCCAAGGTCCCGACCATGGTCCCCTTGACCGTCAAGCCCATCCCGCACATGGTGGTTGGGTCCGCGCCGGCAATGACCTTGCCAGAAGTCGGCATCGACAGACACATGACTATCCCGCCCACGCGGACCAGCTCCATCGCCTGCGTGTAGCTGCTCGGGTGGGACGCCGTCACTATCACGCCGTGTGCACCTCCACCCGTGATGTCCTTGACGCGGGCGACCACGTCGTCCTTTGTGAAATCGACGTACTCCTCCGCCCCGAGCCCCAAGCACAATCCCCTCTTGTCCTCCCCGCCATCGATTGCCACGCACCGCAGGCCCATGGCCCTCGCCATCTGCAACGCCATGTGGCCGACGCCGCCGCCGGCGCCCGGGAAGACGGCCCACTGGCCGACGACGAGCCCGCTCGCCCGCAGGGAATGATACGCCGTCGTGCCGGAGCACATGATGGGCGCGGCGTCGAAGTCGTCGACGCCGTCGGGGATGCGCGAGGCGTACGCCGCCGGCACGGCGATGTACTGCTGGTAGGTGCCGTCCATGTTGATGCCCGTGAACCTGGCCGCGGGGCAGAACATCTCCTTGCCGTCCATGCAGGCCGTGCAGGCGTGGCACACGTGCGAGATGGGCTTGACGCCGGCCCGGTCGCCGACCTTCCACCCCGTCACCTTGGCGCCCACCTCCTCCACCACGCCGGCGCCCTCGTGCCCGACCGTCTGGCTGGTTGTGCGGAAGTCGGACCAGTCCGCCAGCATCAGGTGCAGGTCCGAGTGGCAGAGCCCCGTGACGTTGAGCCGGACGAGGATCTCGTCGTCGGCCGGCGAGGGTTTCGGCTTTTCGACGATCTGGAGGCTGAAGTTTTCGCCCGGGTTCGTGAGCACGGCGGCGAGCATGGTGTTGGACTTTGTTTTGCCGGTCATTGTGAAAGCGGATTTATTAGTCGGGTTTTAGAGATACGAATATGCCCGGAGTGAAGCTCCTTTGCATTGTTTCCGTTTTTAGCGGCAGATCCCCTCGATTTATGGCGTGTGGGGTGCGGAGTCACGGGGGAGATTCATTATTCACAGAGACTAGCTAGGAAGTGAATCTCCGAGAAGCCCAGGGCCTCGGTCCAATATCATCAACACGAGGCCAGCGGCCGGGGAATTCTCGGCAGAAAACGTGCAGTACGTACGTATAAACATGACGCTATGAGAACAGACATAATGATATAGGGCCCCCAACAATACTATGTTGCCATAGATCGGATGCATTCGCGCTTGCCAAACTACTCTGTGCCCAACCCCAGCCTCCAAAATGTCACGACCAATTCGGATCGCCAATGTCAGCGGGTGGGCCGGCGATAGAAAAGACGCTTGTTTGCGACAGGCCAGAGCAGACCCGGCGCCTGACGCCCTCTTCGGCGACTGGCTCTCGGAACTGACCATCGGATGGTCCGCCGAGGCACGCTATAGGGATCGGCGGAGTGGGCGGACCGACGGCGACGACTACTTTGTCAAGAGCGTCCTGACTGCGTTCGACATGGCCGTGGACACCATGGTGGACCGAAAGCAGAAATTCATCACCAATGCCGGCTGTCTGAGCCCGCGCGGGTGCGCCGAGTCGCTGCAGAAGATTGCCAGACAGCACGGCCATGGCCATCTGAAGTTCGCCTATGTCTCCGGAGACGATGTGCTGGATCGGTTCGAGGACCTGAACAAGCGCAAGCCCTTCAAGCATTTCGACACCGCCAAGGACCTCACCAGCTCCTCGCAACGGGGCGCCGTCTGTGGCGTCAATGCGTATATCGGAGCGTGGCCGATCGTGGCGGCCCTCCGGAACGGCGCCGATGTTGTGGTCACCGGTCGAGCAACCGACGCCTCTGCTGTTGTCGCCCTGGCGGCATGGTGGCACGGCTGGGAAGAAGACCAGTACAGCTCATTGGCCAACAGCTTTCTCTGTGGCCATGTCATCGAGTGCTCCATGTACGTCACCGGCGGCAATTTCTCCGGATTCAAGTCCATCGTCGACAAGAGTACCGACTTGTCGTTCCCGGTAGCCGAGGTGTCCGCCGACGGCTCGTTCATCGTCACCAAGAACCCGGCCGAGAATGGCATCGTGACCAGGCAGACTGTGACGGCACAGATCTTGTACGAGATCCAGGGCAACATGTATCTCTGTCCCGACGTGCAGGCCGACCTGCACGACGTTGTTGTCGAAGAAGTTGGTCAAGACCGCGTTCGCGTCTCTGGAGCCAAAGGCCTTGCACCTCCAAACACAGCTAAAGTCGCAGTCTTCGCCGTCGGCGGCTACCAGGCCGAAGCCTTTGCATTTGCTACGGGGCTTGATTACAAGGTCAAATTTCAGATGTTCGAGAAACTGGCTCGACACTGGCTCGCGGGCCAGCCGCAGATCAAGTTCGACGTCTTGTCTTTCCAACATATCGGACAGCCAATCGAGAACCCGAGGACCGAGCTCGAGGCCACCGCAACCATGCGCATCTTTGCCCAGGCGGCGAGGGAAGAGGACTTCCCGCCTAACGGTCTCGCTGCCTTGGTCGAGGGCCTAAGCATGGGCACATATCCCGGCTTCCACCGCGCGCTAGACCTGCGCAACACCATGCCAAAGATGTACATGGACTACTGGCCATCGAGGATGGACGAGTCCGAGCTCAACATCAGCTGTTCATTCTTGGATGGCAACACGCTACACGTGGCGAACCATCGAGAGGTCACTGGCCCAGTTCCATCCGCCTCCTACGACAGCCCTCAGCCATATGAGGCTGCGAGGTGGGGTCCGACTGTCCTGTTGCCTCTTGGCGCAATCGTCATGGGACGCTCGGGTGACAAGGGCGGCAACGCCAACATTGGCCTCTTTGTCCGTCACGAGGACGAATTCGAGTGGTTGCGCACCTTCTTGTCTCTCGAGAGGCTCACTTACCTGCTGGGCGACGAGGCCAAATTGTTGACGAGTCTGGAGCGGGTCGAGTTCCCGGGGCTGCTGGCGGTACATGCGCTTTGCAGGGGGATTCTGGGCGGGGGTGTCTGCAATACCGATCGATTGGATGGGCTGGCCAAGTCAATGGTTGAGTTTGTACGCGCCCGCGTTGTGGAGTTGCCGCAAAAGTTTGTAGCCAGGGGCACCATATAATAGTGAAAAGCAGAGCGCTCGAATTAGAAAAGAGCCAAAACATTCGCCGGCGAAGTTATCCCGGAATCTACATTCAGTGGCGCGCTGGCCAAGAAGAATGTCCACCTTTTCTTCTTTGCACAGAGATTCGCCAATTCCTCCAAGTCCCACAGCTTTCCAATCATGGATCCCCACATTGCCAGCAAGTATTCGTGGAGGTTTGGAGTTGACGGTGGCCATGCTTCGTAAGTTAAACTGTCTGTCGCGACGGCGGCAAAATGGTTGTTCCAATGCCTTGAAATCATCATCAGCTAATACTGCACAGCATATCGGGTGGGGGGGAAGGGCTTAGGTCTAGACCATCTGAAGGATTCCTCGTTTGCCTCTATTCCCAGGAACTCTGTCCCTTCGGCGGCGACCCTCTTGCGGTCGGTTTGGCTGGCATCGTTGTACCACGCGGTAAAGCCCAATCGAATACACAAGATATCACCAGCTCTAAAGACAACGTTTTGAGCTTTTGCCACGGCCTCCAACTCCGTCACCGGGATTCGCCTTCTCAGCAGTGGATCACGCTCCTTGCCATGCTTCTCCGCCCACGCTGCCCAGTCAAGCAATACACCTCGTCCACAGATGCCTCCTTGTTTATGCACATTGCGAATGCCGTGGTTCAATTCATTCCTGGCCTTGAAATCGTCGTGTCTCAACCCGTTGTAGTATTGTTTTGACCTTTGAGGCTTTGAGATTAGCCGGCGTTCCCTTTTCAGACATCAGCCCCAGACTAAATTAGACTTCCCACGATTGAAGTGCGACATGCAACGGTGTGTTCCAATGGGAGCCTGTCTGCGGGCTGAAGGATATCTGCTCGTCGTGTCCGCAAAAGTCGAGAAGTGGCACCAGGTCAATGAGCTTGTGCTCGGGGAGCTTGCGTCCAAAGGCGGGAAATTGGAGCTTCTCGAGTCCCCAGTCGAGGGATAGTCTGTCACCGTCAATTATCTCTTCCTTGGCAGCTCTGGCCACCAGAGCTGGGGTTATCAGATTCAACGTCCCGAGCTCGTCTTTTTGGCCCGGTCTATCGAAGACGCCCCAGGCACATCCCTTGTAGCCAGCCCCTTCGACATGTTTCAGAGAGTCGAAATCCGGAACATGGCTTTGGTTTTCGATGCCAGTCATTCTTTTAGGTTTTCAATTGTTGCATCTAGGACGATAATAAAACGGACTGTCGAGCAAAGAGGATACTTGTGACGCGAACAAATAGTTCAGCTTTTGGCAGCGTGTAAGCCATGGCATATAGCAATGACCGTCTAGTGCGCATGATTCATTCAAAGACCGCTCAACTAGCGTTTGTTCCGAGTACTTAGGATCCACTTAATGGAATCCCGAGTACCCCTGTGTTCGGCAGATCTGATATCAGTAACTACTATGTACATGTACATGTACATGCACATACATCCGCCGAATGGACCTAATTCCGAGTACCCTCGGTCCGAGGATTTTGCGTTGTAATTATACCAGTAACCCAAACTTTATGTACTATGTAGCCCTATGTAGCTTAATGGGATTCCTGTCTCTGGATTTTGATAGCTACCAAACACATATGCCAAGTTTTTTATATCCATCAGCATCCAATTGCCTTGGATATCTCCTTTCCAGGTCTCGAATCCAAATCCGGCTTAGTCATTAGACGCCAAGTTGGACATCGACTCTTCACCCACCTCTTCACCTCTTCGCTTTTTTTTTTTTTAATTGGGGGGGAAGGAGAGGTGTATTATCATCTCCAAGTAGGTACGAAGTTGCTTAACGTAACTAGATATGTCCTTTTGTTCGATAATCAGCAATCAAACTTGAGCTAACATATATACGACTATGACAGTATTAGAAGATGGGTTCGTTTTACAAAGGCTACTGTTCCACGATTAGTGGAAAGTGGCTTCAGCTTGGGGTTACGCTTTGCTCGGCCATGACATTTATGCTCTTTGGCTATGACCAAGGCGTTCTCGGAGGTCTCATAGCTACGCCACAACTCCTCGACGCTCTCCACATTGCCGCCAGCGACGCCAACACGCAGGGAACTGTTACGGCAATCTACAACATCGGCTGTCTGGTGGGGTGCCTCATCTGTGCGACCGCGGGCCAGATGTTGGGCCGACGGACATATATAGTCATTGGTGGCTTTATTCTTATCCTCGGAGCAAGCATCCAGGCAGGTGCCAATGGAACTCCCATGATGATTGCCGGCCGGGTAATTGCAGGCATTGGCACGGGCATGGAGACGTCTTTCATACCCATCTGGGTCTCCGAATGTGCACAAGCTGCTCATAGAGGTGCCCTCGTCGCCGTCCAGCTCTCCATCGTTCTCTTGGGCCTGTCGCTGGCGTATTGGTTCGACTACGGCACAACGAATAACCTGACGGGATCGGTGGTATGGAGGTTGCCTTTGGCCTTCCAAGTCGTGTTTATCATTGGCGCACTCTGCACCATTCCCCTGCTCCCAGAGTCTCCCCGATGGCTATACTCGAACGGCCATCTTGATGACGCTGATGACGTTATGGCCCGCATTCTGCAAGTCCCAGTCCATGACCCTGCCGTCCTCACCCGCAGGGCAGAAGTCCTGGAAGCACTGAGGATGGAGAAGGAGACAGAGTTCCGCCTGAAGAATATCTTCTTCGACGACTCTCCGATCAATACTTCCTGGCGCATCTGGATTGGGGTCATCATCCAGTTTCTTCAACAACTCGGCGGCATCAACCTTGTCGCCTACTATGCGTCGTACATCTTCATCCATAACCTGGGCAAGACACAATATCAGGCCAGTTTGCTGTCCGGGGGCCTGAGTCTCGTCTTCTGGGGAGGGTCTTTAACATCCATCTATACCGTGGAGAGGTTTGGCCGGCGTCCGGTATTGCTCGTCGGTGCGACCTGCACATCCATATGCATGATCCTCTACACCATAGGTCTGGCCATCTACACCGAGAAATCCTTGACCATGGCCGTCGCCTTCATTTTCTTGTTTGAGTTCAGCTTTGGGGCGTCTTGGTGCATCGTTCCCTGGATGTATGCCCCGGAAGTGACCCCCCTGCACGTCAGGCACATCGGGACCTCACTCGCCGTTGGCATGGAATGGCTCATGACATTCGTCATCGTCAAAGTCGGTCCGATCGGGATCACGAATTCGGGATGGAAGTTCTATCTGCTGTTCTGCGTTTTCAACGTCATTCAGGTGATATTTGTCTGGTTTTGTGTCAAGGAGACCAAGGGGCTCACCCTGGAGGAGATTGATTTGGTCTTTGCAAAACCAGCGCATAGGGCTCACCTGCAGGCCCAGCTATATAACGCCGAGCATATCCCAAATGGGGATGGAAAGGAGGTCCTGGAGGTGGGGATGGACGAGAAAGCGACACAAGACCCCTGAGGATGTAATTAGGCGTAGATAGTGAGTGATACACCATGCCATTCCCGATTGATCGCGGAGAGGTTGCTCTTCTCGAACTGAGCTAGAGAGGTCAACGACCGTACTTGTCAACGAGCCGTCTCTGCGGCTCCAAACCTTTGTTTCTCAGTCCCCGGCACTCCATCACGAGGTGGAATGGCGTCTTGTCTTCTAGGCCGCACTTGCATAGCGGGGACTGCACGTCCGGGACCCTCCGACCGTAGCCTTAACGCCTATCTGGCTTGCCCTCATTTGCATGAGCACCGAGATCACGTACTTCGGCACTCCGACGTGCTTAGCCACGGTGGTACATAGTTTGAGAACAGGCATGTATTGTTACCCACACACGTTTTCCAGCATCTAGCCCGTTGGAAGCTAACAGACCGGCCTGTGCCAAGATATCCTGGTAATACCCTTCGCCAAATTGTCTGATTGCTGTGACATGGTTGACGTTGAATTCTACAATAGGCTGTGCTTGCGATGTGAGTTCCGTATTACACTTGCTAAAGTCCACTCGTCATGGATTTGCTAACTTCACACTAGATTCCTGCCCATATATGTCGCTCCCCAGTTTCACGAGCTCCTTTTATCTACAAGCTTACCACTGTGGATGGATAGGAAAAGCTCTTCCCTTCCTTCTTGCCTGGATGTTGCTGGATGACACTAGGAGATGGATATCTGGAGGCCCTTTCTCTTCTTCGTCTTTAGAATGGACATGAGTCTTTGTACTGCTTGGTCTACTTTAAGCCGGTATTAAATTGTTGTACGGTCCTGAGCTGGTGCTAGTGCTGCTGCTTTAACCCGAGCTGTAGTGTGCCCGGGGTGAGCCGCCCGTACGGTAACCCTAACCCTAAAGAATGCTGGTATTATGTGACAGGATGGCTTTTCGATTTGCCACAGTTTCCGCCGTGGCCAGGAAGCCACCGGAATTACAATTCCGTCCGCAATTGGTATAGCCCAACAGTGACCGAAATCCAAACTTGACTCCGCCACGGTTACAAAGCCGACGCAATCCAGCTTGGGATATGCTAGATCCATAGCTGGTTTGTTTTCAGCTTATTGAGCTGATTGGGTGCAGTCTCCTACCACGGAAGCGAGCATGTCTATGAGTACTGTAGAAGGCGTCCAGCAACAGACAACGTCCCCACGTGCCTTTTTGCAGGGGGCTCCTACAGCCGGCTGTACAAGATTCGACGAAGGGCTGTCGACTTCCATAATGAACAGTTCAACAGACGAACTACCGGCGCTAGCGGAGGACCCATCGGCCTCGCTCACGGAGAATATATTTGACGAGTGGTCGGCACTAGCTGAAGAGTTGTTAGTTTCTGTGGCGACAGATCCAATAGACGGGCTGATGGGACTGGCTGACGGGTCGCCGCCTACCGAGACGAGCATTCCGGGAGAGGCGCTTCCGATACCTCCGGGCCAGGCAGCTGGGTTCCCATCCGATGATGCCAAACCGAGAAAGGCCCCACGGCGGACCCGAAGGCAGGGGACCCGACCGCCGCGGGCATTAATTGCGTGCGTGAATTGTCGTGGTCGCAAGGTACGTTGCGATACCTCAATAACGGGTACTCCTTGCTCCAATTGCTCGCACTTCGACGAAGTCTGCTCCATCGCTCCTAGGAAAAGACGTTCCGATAACTGGTAAATTAAACATTGGTGCCATACTTTTCCCCCCGTGCGTTCAGTCGGCTTACAATGCGGGCAGGAATGTTGCAGTCTGCTCGAGCATAGCTAGAGCCAGGAGCGCCAGTCTCGCTGGCCAGTCCCAGCCCAAGGCTTGCCTTGACGGCAGTGAAAAGAAGTGCACAGAAACCCCTGCGGTTAGTGCCCAGAAACAACCTAGTCTCGGCGTGCATCTCTTCTCCCGGCAACTTCCCACCGACCTGAGCACTGCCGATGTCGTAATGATGCGGGCAAAGGGTGCCCTCCGGGTCCCAAGGGCGACGGCGCTTCGCGGGCTCATCAAATCCTTCTGCCAGTTCGTATATTGCCGAGCTCCAGTCGTGGATCTATATGAGCTATTGGAACTTTCCGGGCCAGGAGACGTGGAAACGCCCGAAACGAGCATCAGTCTTCTTCTCCTGAATGCGATCATGCTCACCGCATCCATGCATGCCCCAGTGGAAGTTCTACGCGATGCCGGTTATGGCTCTCGAGCAGAGGCATTGGCTGGATTCCACGACAAAGTGAGGGTACACAAGTCCCTCCCTTGCGCCGACAGAAATTTGCTCGTCAAGCAGCTAACTCCGTCCCAGGTACTTTACAATCTAAACTACGAGAAGGACGCCGTCGCCACCCTCCAAACCCTCCTTTTGTTGGCATATGCCTCTGACGACAGTGAGTCGGACAAGGACAAGACACATTGGACCACTGTTGCCGTGTCTTTGTGCTACCGCATCGGGCTGAATCACTATCCCAAGGGCGAGGGCTCGGCGTTGCTCGGCAAGGGTCCTGGGCGTCTATGGAGACGATTATGGTGGTCATGTTTTATCCTGGACCGACTGGTTACCGTGACATACGGGCGAATCCCAGGTATCAACCAACAAGACTGGGATGTTCCATATCTGCAGATGGATGACCTTGAGCTCGAAGCAATGCCGGGCTTTGTCGACCAGATGTTGGTTCAACAACTTGCAGAATGTTTTATTGAGAAGGCAGAGTTGAGCGTACACCGTGGTTGCAAGTGCTCCACTGAATTAATACCCCCAGCAACACTTCCCCCATACCACAGTCACTACCTTGCCGACGAGGACTATGAGCTTGGTCTAATTCATTCAATGTTCGGGCCTATCAGTAAATTCTAATCAATCGGGTACTGCTATTTGTCCTTTGTGCTCTCACTGCTAAGGCACGTAGTTAGAAATCCACATCGAGATTCCAGACCATCCAGCTGTAAGGCTGGGGCTTTGCAGGCTTGTCTGCCTGCTGCGGGATTGCAGCCTTGTACACGCTGCACTGCATGCTGCTGATTTCCATGAGGACCTGGCTGTTGCTAGCTATAAGCTGGTTGCAGCCTGCACGCCGAGTGTTTCGAATACGGTAAGATTGAATTTGAGAAAATTACACCAAGTAACGAGAATCGTCGCTTACTAAGAGGCAGTATGGCATTTGGACAGTCACCCTCCTCCAATCATGCATTTGTGGCGTTGATAAGAGAACGCACGTCTCATGGAGGCGTTGTTGGCAGAGCAGGGCTGCAGGATGAATGCTAATCTGATTGGCTTTGCGTTCGACAAATGCTTATCGCACTTCTGTTTGCTATTCTAACTGGTTAGCGGAGACAAAGAAACACAGGCCTGCCCCTCCAAACCAACCGCACTTCTGAGGCTGCAGGATGAATGCCGATCTGATTGGCTTTGCGTTCGACAAGTGCTCATCGCACTTCTGTTCGCCATCCTAACTGGTTGGCGGAACAGGGAAACACAGGCCTACCCCTCCAAACCGACCGCACTTCTGTTCGGACTTCTTATTGGTCGGGGGCACATATATTATAGTCACAGAACCCCCCGCCCTCTCGATATTATCTCGTTCTCATCACTTGGAGTAGCACAAAGACCATATCGCGACCCACGCCTAGCTGGAATTCCTTACCACTCCAAAGAAAACCCAGTTTCCTTTCAATCTTCCGTTGCTATTACATTTCCCGTCAATTCACACCCAAACTCGAAGCTCAAAATGCCGTTTCACACGCCTCTCGCCCCTAAATCAACCCCACAGCCTAGCAGGCTAGAAATGGTCCCGGCACCAATGGGTTCGCTGCCAAAACAGCGGATTCGCCACTCGGATGAAGAATGGGACGAACTCAAACCCATCGTCACAAGACTATTCATCGACGAAAACAAAACAGCGTCAAGATTACTAGAGGACCTTCAACAAAGCCATGGTTTTCGGACAAGGTTCGTCTTTCACACGAGTCTTTCTTAGCTTACATGTCTTTCGCCACATCGTGGTCCGTTCCTTACAAGATACAGCCTTCGAGTGCTCAAAGAAAAGCTCGACCAATGGGATTTGAGAAAGAACCTGAAGCAGTCAGAAATGAAGATTCTGCTCGCGAAACGCAACTATCGAAGCTCTGCTGGAAAAAACACGGTATTCCATTACAAAGGCCGGGAGCTGTCCGACGAGCGGCTAGTCCGTGCTGGCAAACGCCCCTGGATCAGAGATGAGACGCCTCAGTCTCCTGGAGCTCGTGAGCAGTCTCGGCTACAGTCTTTATTTTCAAGATATCTGACGGTATAATAGGAACGCCATCAGATGTGGAGTACCACACTCCACCAATGGATGTGATTGATGAAGACGTTGAGCAGTTAACCAATTCCGAGCTGAGCAATGATGAAGTTGTGCCCGGCCCGTCGCAAGCATGCTCCCCGCCCGCGAGAAAACGCGGTACATCCATTGCGGAGATCGATCATCATAGCCTAGCGTCCAGTAAGTTATTACGTCTTCAACGGAACTCTCCCTTAGCCATATTTGACTAATTTGCTGATGAAGTTTCCAGAAAAACGACGAAAGAGTCGGGAAGGTGCACATTCAGTGGACTTTGGAGCCAGCCCTCCAAGTGGCATCCACGACACCACGGCCCAAGATATGGCACGCAGTATCAACAGGCTGAGTGCACTATGGTCTGAGGAAAACAGAGTGTTTCACACATTTTCCGATGACGAGAGAATGATAGACAGCCTGGTGCAAGACTTTCAAACCGTTCTGGACGCAGCATTGCAAAACGGGCATGTCGTGTGTCGATGCTGCGGCCGCCGTGATTTGCTCAGAGATCACGAGGACCCCGAACTGGAGAGCAATGTCCATCGCATCCGTCGTGGATTCGAAGATGCTTCTTTGGCTGTGAACACAATGGGTGAGCTTATTAATCCCTTGTTTCTGATAAGATTAGGGGCTGCATAACTAACTCTTCCAAGGTTCACTTGGTAGGAGATTCGGGAGTAAAATTACACAGCAGACAATTAGATGTGATGAGTTCGAATTCGAATACGGACATCTCTTCCTTTTTATTCATCACGCCGAAAATACGAACTCCGAAAACTCCACAACGAGTATGACATTCATACCAAATAATCCCCAGAGGCATCACATGTTTGTCGCATCGACATTCCAGGAAGAAGTATGGAAATGTCCAATTCAAGCAATTTCGCGACTTGAAGTCTACAGAGTCATACCCGCGGAATCACACGTATTTACCCTAGTACGTGAAGGACGACTACAAGAGTTTCGTGAAATGTTGCAAAGAGGCGAGGCTTCTCTTCGGGACCACGACGAGAATGGAGCGTCACTATTATTCGTGAGTCATCCCAAATCTCGTCATCGATTTAAGGCCGAAGCTTATAATTTCAATCAAAGTATTCTACTCGCCAGCCGGAGATGTGCAAATATCTCATTGCGGGCGGGTTGGATGTCGATCACGTGGGAAAGGTCGAGCTCCTTGACCATAGTTTTTCAATGTACGAAGATGAGTCCTAAGTCTCTTTTCGACAGTATTTGAAATCAGGCTAATTCATCTTACCAGGACTCCCTTACAAGTGGGGTGTAACGACGACGAAATCGACCGAGACACATTGTCATTGATAAACAGATGCCGCAGATTGCTTCTGGAAGCTGGCGCTGATCCAACGATTGATGTCGATGGAAAAGCTGGTTCATTTTTCTCAGCTATCCATGAGTCTGGTGTACCTGTTCGTCGATTCACGAGAACTATCAACAGGAACGTACTAATTCACGAGCAGGAATCATTTCGAATAGCATGGAATCCGGACTTAACTGGTCATTTTGCTTCAATCTCTTCCTATACCGTATGGGATGGCCTCACATCACTGTCGGCCTATTGCATGGGCTTCAGCACAGGCTGCGACAGAGATGGAGTTAATGCGCTTCTTGACCTAGGTGCAGACATCAATGCCCGCGATGTCTTCGGTCGCACTTGTTTACACATTTTCATGAGCCTTTTGCATGGTGACTTCCGCATACGAAAAGATTACGGCGTCCTAGAATGTCTTATCGAAAGAGGAGCCGATGTCAATGCTCAGGACAACTCGGGGACCTCAGTTTCAAGGGTTGCTTACACGCACCTATATCCTCGGTGTCGGGATATTGGAAGTTATCCCGGAGACCTCTGGGACTCGGTCTTACAAAGCTGTGGCTACAATATCGAAGAATATCGTCGCGACAAGTGTCGTAAGGCCAAATATACGAAGCGCTACACGCGAGCGCATTTCGAGATGCTTTGGGAAGGGAAGGAACATCTATGTCCTTATTGGGATGACGAACCATGGCCGCCAAATGCTGAGGGCGATTCCAGTACCGATGACCTCGAGTATGACAGCGACGACTCGTCCAATGTCCCCAGCGACTCAGACGAAGGCGACGAAGGAAGTTCCTTAGCGGAAGAGACGCAGGAGAAGGAAGATGGTTATTCGGACGAAGATGGTGAAGGAGGTTTCCAAGGAGAAGAAATTCATGACATAGGAGCGTACTTGGTCTGATGAAGAGGCAGTTGCAAGTTTCACATATTGGTAATTGAGCCTGAAGAGAGGTTCGGGGCCATAATGTAGCACACATAGAGGAGCGAATCTACTAAATTCTTCAGGCGAGACCTAAGAGAGTGTGAAGAAGCTTCGGTAAAGAATCCCTAAGTTTTGTCATACACCATATGCCCCAAAATGTCGGCCGCTGCTTCCCAAGAAATGCGGTTAATTAAAGGCCTCTTGTTGGTGTTTTCTTGCTTCTCTTCACATCTTTGTGCCAATCCCTTTTTCTCTTCCGCAGTACAGGTACAGTATACAAGTCGCCTTGCCAACCACCACTATCTCACTTAAATGCCAACCAAAACCAAGCCGCACCCATCAAATCGGAGCCTGCAGGTGGTCCAACTGGCGGTAACCTTTGGCTAGCAGTGCCGCTGCCTAGTATGATAAAGTTGTAGACGTTGCAGAGGTGGAAATCTCCACGTGCTTGGGTAGTAGTCCCTAGGGAATCGTATCTGACAGCCAGAGGTCTTAAAGTAGCATTGTCACTACCTATTCTAAACTTCCAATGCCTGTTGCCGATCCTCCTTAGCTTTTGCAGAAGAAGGCCAAACCCGACTATGGATATAGAGGTGCTAGTTACAATGATGTATCTTAGCCTGCGAATCATAGAGATTATTATTCGCCGACAACGCCGAAAAAAAGGATTCAATGACTTGCTTTCCCTGCACAGATCCTCCTATCATTGTCGATATTTAATTCATTGACTTGGGGCTCCATCTTTCTCCCGCGGGTAGCGCAAGCAGCGCAGGCTTCTTGAATATCCTGGAACTGCTTCTCATTCTCCTCAGGCTGAATCAGGAGCCAGATCAGCCGCACCCAATCTATCACTGTCAAGCGTTGTTCAACTAGACAACTACCAGTGCTATGTCTAACCCTGTCTCTAGAATTCACGCAATGGTTCCATTAAGGCCTGATATTGTTCTGTTGGTCCTTGCAACGGGTTAGCAGACAGAAAATCACGGAGATCTGCTGAGGGAAGCGTTTTATCCTGCCAACGAAGCTGCCAAAGGGTAGTTGCTGCGGCATAGAGTGTGGATGTAGCGTGTTAGGCAGGTTCCTATCTAGTCTCTGCGCCAGCGGGAGAGGCAGTGCTGGTAGCCTGCTCCTGGTAAGCTGCGGCTGGTGAGATCGGATTTGCCAAGCACCTCGTCTCCACTGAACCACGCAAGCCTTGCACTGCCGTGTGGAAGTGAGTGTAACCAGGTTAGCAAATCTGTATTCATGCTTGCTATAACCGAGACCGGCTTTGATGCCGGCAATAAAAAGGGTTTCTTAGATGGTGAGGTGGAAGGACAACGACAGGAGCGCCGAGAGTGCAACCTTTCCGATGCCCCGCGACCGCAGATTTGGTTGGTATGTGGAACACCTATACAAAGACTAAGTTCTCCGACGGGGTGCCCATCACGGAACTGGCGCATCGATCTTCCCAGCAATTAGTTTCCCGCAACACGGGAGCTCTAACTCTGCAGAATCACCGAATTGCCGCCAGTGGGGAAAAGATGTGTGCAGCCCAGTGTCTCCTCCTCGGCATCAGGGGCAGGTCCCTGGCCAGAGCACCGGTAACGCCCGGGCGTGGTCATGGACCCCAATTGTCACTGGGAAAGAGAAGGCTGCCTCTGGCGCAGGGTCAGGTTGGCACATATCCCAACCATGGATGAGAATGCTTGCAGGCATAACCTTCAGCCCATCAAGAGCCTATGAGCACACCCTCGCCCAGGACTTGGACAAGTCAAGGGTGGGGTGATAGGTTCATCAGAGGCGATAACTGTAACTGTATCTTCAAACATCTTACAAGCTAACCGTCCGCACGCCGTTAGAGTTGGCGCTCACGATAAGGGAGTCAAGCTTCATGCCGATGATAACGACATGTAGATTATAAGTCGAAACGTCGTTGATGCGCCGATGAAGTTTATAGCGTCGTCAAGGCTCGTCGTGCCCCCAAAGGTATGATCGGGTCAACAAGGAGGGCGCGGTATGAAGACCTGAACGACATATAATACCCGATCCACACTCCACACTCTCAACAAGACGCCCACGCAGCCATCCGAAAGCCAGTTAAACCAACCATCAATCATACTCGTATGGACAAAGTCTCCCATCGCGGCACAGTCAACGGCTCCCCTATTCAGGGCAATCCCGGGAAGGTCAGAGGTCAAGGATAGGGAGGTAGATTACGTCTTGAAGCTAGAGGTCTGAAGATCCTGCCATAGGCCCCGAGGGTTGCGAGATCATCACCGCCGAAGATGGTGAACGTGATGCAATACGACCCGTGCAACCTTGGACGACTTCCTGGAATCTGTGGAACGCCCGAAACCGTACTCGGGCTCCGCCGCCTCGCCTTCCGGCCCGACTGTGACGTCATAATCGCTCATGCTGGTGGTGGCAGGGACAAGCGGTCTGGATAAGAGGAGCTGCCGAATGACGGGCAGTCTACAAGGGATCTTGTCTAGAAACAGGTGGCAGATCCTGCCCTAAACCTGTCCCTTCTCCTCCCTTGGCGCTGCTGATGTTGACTTGCTAGCATCAGAGGCTATAAATTGCCAGGAGGAGAAATCTTTGCCCATGACGACGTTGTCCAAATGTGCCATTAAACCTTAATATACCCGAAAATAGCCGTGCAAGGAGGAGAAGGAGGCGGAAGAGAAGGAGGCGGAAGAGAAGGAGGCGGAAGAGAAGGAGGAGGAGAGGAACACACGCACATATCGAAGAGCATACCAGCCGGCGTTTATATATATCTGCCCACTTGATAGTCAGCGCAGTTTTCTTGGTCACCACTCATCATATAAGCCGCCTGAAGTGGCACAGGAGGCATCGCATACACCGGCAGCCCAGCACAATACAAAGCCAGTAGTCCGGAGGGCTCCCTCGACACCAAGAACCCGGCCAGGTTTGTCCAGCCTCCAGCCCTGATAGGTTGATCTCAGGGTTAGATAGGCAAGGCCTTGAATGCCGCAACTGTCCACGCTTTGTCTTGAGGAGCAGCCTGTCAGCCTACATCTCGACTACAGCGCATATGTTGTCATTTGCCTTCGCTTATGAGCAACATGGCGTAGGCTAGCCCAGCGCTCCTGCAGTCCGCATACTTGTCACCCCTCTTCTTTCTTCAAGCTACAGGAAGGCGCTTGTCAACTATATCGTGATGGTTAAGTCACCTATGGCACGCCAAATACCGAGGATCTATTTGCTTGCTTGCAATTTTCTCAGGGGTAATCTCAGGGGTAATTTCGAGGGTAACCTGCCAGTGACAAAGGTCTTTTCGAACATCTAATGAGGTGGAATAAATAGAGACATGGCGGTTATAGGGACTTTGAAGAGCAGCAAATCTCCGAGTATCATCCATTAGTCCGTCCAGTGTCTATTAGCCAAGATATGGGGGAGTGACTAGGTAGGCTCGTGGTCCCACACCACGCATTTTCCCCACTCGCTAAAGTGAAGCATCTTTTTATTACTCTGTTCGTCGCATCCGTTTGCACTGGCAGGTGACAGGGTTGATATCCTTATGACCTAATACTTATCATAGGTAAGCCTAAGAGACCGGTGACCTGGTTCCAATTCGGAAGACGTAATTGTCTGGATATCTGCCTCATGCCAAGCAGTGAGTAAATACAATTACGCTGAGGGATGAGAATATGATGGAGAGGTAGCTGTAGGGCACTGTATTACCACCATCTATGCCGCGGGAGCTTCGTCATCATCAAAAGGTTGCGCTGGGAGTGAGCTTATGTGCCCCCTTTCCACCTATGCCATAGCGCCTATCCCACGTAAGGTTTCCAGAAAGCTCCGTTTGGCTCACCGAGGGACTATGGCCAGGAGCCGGTAATAAGCATGCAAGATTTGCAAAGGGCTGACAACTTCACAAATCCTGACTGGTCTCGGATTTCTGCTCCGGAACAACGAGTTCTTGAGCTCAACGTTGACACAGGCCAAGGGGAGACGAGCAACTTCCTCGTCCAGGATCTCGGCAGGACATAACCTTCTTCTCAAGCTTCCCGCTCTTGAACCTCGATATAATTTTGCCGTGTGTCCGTTGCTTGTCCTATTCAAGAGTCTAGGTGGAACTGAAGGCAAGGGCTGATCGATCGAAGCTCATGGCGTTGAGCTGCGGTAACAGCTCGCCGTCTCCACCACCATCTTCACGGGACGCACAGAACCCCCGCGGTACCCCTTAGGCGTCTCGCCGTCCCCCTACGTAACGAAGTCGGTCACTGAGGCCTCAACTCAGGCCAATACCCGGCCGGGGAAGCCAAGCAGTTTCCGTTGCACCTAGCACATCCACCCGTCTTTGCTGGCAGCTCCTTTGCTGGCAGCTTCAGCACCAGCTACTCAAACATCTCATTAAATGGCCCATACATGATAGACGAGACGTACAGGAAGGCAATACCTCCTTGGTTTAGCTGAATACGATCCTAGGCCTAACACCTAATGTCGATGTCGAGGTAAGGGAAGAGAGACTTGTCCCTAATATGCTCCTACCCAAGTCACCGCCATCAAGCTGAGCAATGACGAAGTTCATCATCCTTTCTCCGCACTACTCTAGTGCCGCTGGTACCTCGATGAACCGGTTGTGGCCAACATTGAGAAATCCATACCAAGAACCCGATTATCCCGGTCCCGGGCCCCCGGGCCTGAGCCAGGGAGCCCGGAATTAGCGTCTCTATGTATAATGCTCTCAACAGTCCTCAATAGTTAGAAAGTACGCTTTACCGGCGGCTAAGACACTCCGGTAGCTATGTGTAAACATCTAAACCATGGCGGATAACTTGGTAAGCTGTTGAGTTCAGCCTATTACTTAGAAATATCCTGACTCTTGAAGTTTGTTTGTGGAAAATCTGCTCGGAACACATTTGCTCATAGGACATTTGCTCATAGGACATTTGCTCATAGCATGTTTGCTCATAGCATGTTTGCTCACAGCATGTTTGCTCACAGCATGTTTGCTCACAGCATGTTTGCTTACCTGTGCGTGGCAAGGCTTCTGGTCGGAATGCAGGCAAGGACTAACAAAATTAATACAAAACCATCCCAGCTTACCCTCAAATCAGGATCAGCCTGGCTGGTAGATGCCTGCTAGTTTGTAACATCGTATCTATTCACAGAGAGGTTTGTTCATAGGATATTCTTCACCAAAATACCCCCCTCCTCAACAGCCCTTTCGTTTCGAAATGCGAAGCACACAGGTATTGACAGTTCGCAATCAGCGTAGGTAGTTATTTATCAACTCCCAATGTTTGTGACTGACATGGAGAAGGTTTTGCGCAGGCGAATTGGGACCATCAATCATGTGGTGGGGACATGTTGTTCATGGGAATGGGTTTGTGCGCGGCAGTTTGCTTAACGCAAGTTGTTACGCAGCGTTAGCAGCAGTACGCGTAGCTTATAGGCAAATGGATGCGCAGCAATCTGCGTTACGCAGATTGGCATAATCTTTTAGGACTATTTGTTGGTCAAGTGGTTTACTGCAGCTACTTGTTCCAACTATTTGCACAACCAGGGTGCACTGCGAGAGGTGAGGGGTACGAATCGTTGCTAGCAGTGCGGGGTTCAATCGTCAGCTGACTTCTATGTTGCCCTGGCAAGTCATGTGACTCATTGGGGTTTTGAGCTGGGTCCACTGAAATTAAGGCGGTGAGGCGCAGAGAGAGTGGCGCCGAGTGGCTGTGCCTGCGGGACAGTTGCCCAACCATCCTCCAAATTCCGCACGAAATATTTCACGTCTCGCGATGGGATAAATCTGAGAGCAATTGATCGGCGTCGTCCTAAGCAAGCCAGAGGACTTTAAGTTGGGCCACACAGAAATGACTGCCCGATTGATGCGATACCAGAACTGGAATACCGCATCTACGCCAAGATGCATTGTGGTGAAAAAAGCGCATGCGATTGAAAGCTTTGGAGATGGGGGCGAGTGGGTGAGAAGACCGAGTTGGGGATATTCAGAATTGGGGTTCAGGTTGGGGGACCACGGATGCACTGTACGATCCACTAAAGACATACCAGCTTAGTACATTTTTGGTGCATGTCCCATGTACTGTACTGTACAAGCACAATGTGCCAAGTACTTACGCAGGGGCGGTTGTCTAGGATTGGAGACCCTGTAGATCTTAGTGCAACGCTTATTGCATTAATATTGGATGGCTAAAATATAGTGTGTGCAGCAGTACTGCTACCCCACGTTGGCCGATGACGATGCCGCAACGGTTCAATTTCATCGCAGAGTTCAAAGTCCGTCAACAAGCCAGCTCTTTGTTCAAAATGTGCTGGATTCTCTCCGTCAGGCAGAACCCGTGATCTGCAGATCCACGTGACAAGTAATGCAGTCTGTGCCCTTTTCGACGCGTCTGCCTTATTTACCTTTTTCCCCCCTCGCCATCACATCTTTCTTGCCCGCGCGCCCTCCCATCAAACGTCGATTGAACCCAGTCCCCCACATCAGACTTCCAACCTAATTCTGCCCGCGCGGCCATTTCCCATCAATTGATGAAAAGAAATTGAACAAACAGCGCGATGCGTTCTCGCGCGCGCTTGTCCAGTCGCGGGCGAGGAGGCCGCCCAGTCGCCGGAGAACGCAGCGCCAGTGTTCCGGAGAGTGTCAACATTGCAGGTACGGGTACGCCACAGATTCCAGACCTGCCCGGCCTCGCCAACCGAGGCCAGAAGGAGCGGAAATTGGCTCTCGCTTTGTGGAAGATCACCGAGCCGGCCGGCGTCGCCGCTTTCGACGCCTTCTTGGGCCCTTGCAGCAACCACGTCTACACCGACCTGCACGCCATGGCCAAACATCTGCCCTTCGACCGCGTCAAGTCGCTGCTCACCCAGGCACGCGACGAGCGCTTGCAGACGTCAGCCTCCTCGAGCACTCCTAAGAAACCTGCCGGCGCAGGCACACCAAAGTTCACCATGCCGGATGCGAAGAAGGCCAAGGAGCTCAGCAGGCTGTTTGGCAGCAGAGGTGATGCCGATGAGGGCTCTGAAACCCTGCGCTCTCCCTCAGAAGAGGTAAGTTCAATTCTTCGCTCCCCCGGCCCTCGACCAGTTTCACTAATTGACCGTTGTGGCCCAGCAGCACCAGCAACAGGAAGCAGGAGCGGAAACCTCGACAAGCCCTCCCAAGACCCCGACAGTCCCCCTCAACCCCGCTCAAGCCGATGATGCCCCAATGCCCGCCGTCGCCGCGACGAAGAAGACTCCCGCCCCGGTTGAGAAGAACAATACTGGAGACAAGAATACACAACGGGAGGAGAACAAGGATGATGAGGACGAGGAGATCGAGGAGGAGATCAGGGTCATGGGCGAGAACGAGAGCCCCAGGCGCAATCGACCGGCCGGGGTTTTTGACAGGAGGCACTTAACGCCGCTTCAATTGGCACACGGCACATTGAACTCGGTTCTATCTCTGCGTCCCCCTCGGAGCATCGGCCGGAGGGCCTCATTCCATGTCCCAGATTGTCCCAGGACGCCGTTTGAGGTTGGGCTTGACGATTGGCCGGACTCAATTCCTAGGGCCAATACTGAAGCTCATGACGTCGCAAAGGTACTTGGGGTTGCAGGCGGCGAGGATGATGGCAGTGCTGACGGCAGTGTGACTTAGGATGTCAACACCGCCAGCCCGGCCGCTCCCACGCTCCTAGTCTCTAGCACCAATACCGTTGCGGGACCAGGCAAGCCTCCTTGCGATGGCGACGGAGATGGGGCTGAGAACAAGAACAACACCCCCAACGACGATGTGGACCTGCTAGTCCCTGTTTATGACAAGCCTCCGATCCCCGACAAACCCCAAGACGACATCGGAGGTGACGCTGCGCCAGCGAACCCAGCCAAGCGTCGCGATCACCACTCTGAGGGTGGAGAGGTTGAGGGAGTCGACAGGCCCAACAAGAAGGCCCGGGTGGAGCCCCACACGACAGAAGAAGTCGAGTCTGCTCATTCTAGGTCCACCGTCATCGACGTTGAAGCCACCACCACCGCCAAAGTCGCCGGCAACGAGGGTTCGCCGGCTCCCTCTCCCTCTCCTTCCGCTGGTCATGAACATGGCCGACTGTCTTGCTCCGGTGGCGTCCTGCCCAGAAGCCGTCTGACCGACGCGCCGATCAATGCCGTGCTACATCTCCTCGCAGCGGCTCGCCCTCTCTCGCTAGCCACTATCGATTCCGTTCTCACCGACGACGAGACCAAGATTCCTAACGGGCTGAATCCCAGCAGCCGCCCAACGCGGAAAATGCTCGTCATGGGCAAGAATGAACAGGGCAAGCTGTTGATACCGCTCCACATTGCCAAGTTGGAGCACTGGGTTCTCATGGTGATCACGGCTGGTCCAGGCTTGTCGTCTTCCTCGCCTCCGCTGGCCATTCCAACCGTTCAGCTGTTCGACTCGTACCCTTCGCCAGGAACCGACCCTGTCGCGGTGCGCCTCACCCGCAGCATCGTCGAGGCTCTCTGTGCCGGCGGCATCGGTGTCGGCAACACCCGCGGCTGGACCAAGCCCCTTGGCCGCCTCCTGCCGTGGAACGACTCGTGCGTTACCTCTGCCCCCTCCTGTCTGCGTCAGTCTAACGATGCCGACTGCGGCGTTGCTGTGCTGGTTAACGCCATGTACAACGTCGCCGGGCTGAACCCCCCCGAAAGCCTCACGAAGCTGTCCTGGGACCTGTGGCGCTGGGTTATCGCCATGATGGCCACCGACTTCCGCCGCAAGCAGTACCCGGATGCCGGCAGCAATGAGGACAAGGACGAGGAGTTCAAGGCAGACTGCATCCGCTGCCTGTCCGGCTTCAACCCCGAAGCCTCTGCCCTCCTTGATCAGGCCCCACGCAGCCAGGGCAACAGTGGTGATCTCGGAGCTGACGAGGCTAACGACCTGCTCTCCCGCCTGACGATTATGAACACCGTGGCCGGCGCCTTCGACCTCAGCGCGCCTCCCCCTGCGCCTCCGTCCGGGAAATGGACCTTCGCGGTCAACCGGGAGTACAACAAAATGCTCGAGGAGTACATCGCGCATCGCCGAGACGCTGAGGCCTCGGCTCGAGCCCAGGCCAAGATCAAGCTTCGCGAGCTCGGCGACTCCTTGGCAGCCATCTCGTCTGTACTTGAGCTCCTTTGCCGCCCTCGCATCGCCGCCAGCGCCATCAGTCAGATCAAGGGCGACGACGACGTCGTCATGGATGAACAGAACCCCACCCAGCCCATGGATGACCTTGAAGCGGAGACTTCCACCTTGGACCTGCTTCGCGACTTTCACGGGCAGCTGTCCACCAGCCCTGTGCCCCTGACCGACTTGTTGGCCAAGACTGAGTCGGAGATGCAGATGTTGGAGTCCATCGTCTGCGCCGGGGCTAGGGCCAAGGGGTTGATGAGCCTTGTGGTTTCCATCGTGGCCCGCGCCGTCGAGGACGTGGGCGAGATGCACAAGATTGTTGTGCCGGATGAAGAGGACTCCTAGGGAGATGAGCATCGTCATGTCTTTTTCTTTTCTTTTTTCCTTCGCCATTGTCTCCCCTGTGGAGTTCTGTGCTTTGGCCTGTACACTACGACTCAATATCTGGCTAGACAAGGAGACACTCGGAAAGAGTTTCGGGAAGGAGTTCGAGGAACATAGGACAGAGTTTGACTTTGGGACCAGGGCGCTTTTCGGAACGCAGGAGAACCGGCATGGGCTATTCACATAGCTCCTATACCCTTGGCGTTTAATTGAACTGCTAGACTTGTATTATGAAGTAGTTGTTCCTCCTCACACCATCCTGGGACTCCGAAACTGTGGCCGATGTTCCATGAACAAATATCCGCGGCCTTGCAATTTGCCGGGGTTGACTACGCAAACTATTACGTTGCGAATAGTTTCTGTAGGCAAATTACTGTGTACGGAGGAACTCGTAGACATAGAACATCGCTGTGCGTACAAGTGAAATCGAGCGTTGATGTGAGCAAGATTGAGGTGGTTGGGTGGTGGGCCTTGGTACTGTAGTCCGTACTCGTACTGGTACAAGTACGGAAGTAGACTGCCAGCTGCTACAAGATTTACGAGGCTACGCGGAGTTTATTGCCTAACCCCCAGCAGTCCAACCCCAAAACGCGCCCCCTTCCTCTTCCTCTTCCTCTTCCCCTTCTCTAAAAACACAAAACACACCCTATGCTGCCCAATAAAGCAACCTAAGAGGCAATTCAACCTGCAAAGACTAAACAAGAAGCTTAAAACATGGGCCTTACTTTTGCAATGCCCTATTATCAACCATGTTTCTTCCAACATATTCATGCCACAGAGTGTGAATCACAGTTGTCGAGAGAAACGCGACGCATTAAGATGGGTATTAAGTAACAATGCACCACACTCTGCTTCCAATGTAAACGCCGTTGGCTAAAGCAAAGGAACCAGCCCGATTATTTATTATAACCCAAGATCACGCGCGCGCACATGCAAGGAAACACACTCATCTCCACTTCCAAACTGACCTAGACTACCTTCGTATGGTACCTACCTCTATGCTTAGCCTGCCTACCCCGTCTACCTTGTCTAGCCTGTCGTCGCCGCAGCCATTAGCCAGAGGCTTCCTAATGTCATTGACAGCCCTAGTGACAACCTCTAGGGTATTATTTCCCTGACGCTTGGTATACCGTATGAGGTCGTCGTTAAACTCCTCGGGGTTAGGATACGACTTTATCAGAAACGCCCTTCTCTCCGCTTGAGGATTACTATGGCCAGGCATGGAAGACCCGACCATCGTCCTCAATATCTTTTCCGCAGGGTTGGCGACAAGAAAGCCATGCTTGCCGATGGTAGCATGGATTATCCACCTAGACCGTATCAATAAGGACTGCCTAACCAAGTTACCTGTTGTCAAACTGAGTGAACGAATGCCACATGACTAAATTCCGCGAGCAAATAGATTCCCATGAGCAAATAGTCCGTGAGCAAATAGTCCGTGAGCAAATAGTCCGTGAGCAAATAAATTCAATGAGCAAATAAGTTCCATGAGCAAATAGTCCATGAGCAAATAAATTCATGAGCAAATTACATTCGTGAGCAAATACATTCCACGAGCAAATAGTCTGTGAGTAAATAAATACCCGTGCCTGCCCCAATCAAAACGAACGCGAATTAAAGTGGGGGCGGGCACGCATAGTCCATGAGCAAATAGTCCGTGAGCAAATAGTCCGTGAGCAAATAAATTCGTGAGCAAATAAATTCGTGAGCAAATAAATTCGTGAGCAAATAAATTCGTGAGCAAATAAATTCGTGAGCAAATAAATTCCATGACCAAATACATTCCATGAGCAATCTGTGAGCAAATAAGTTCCGTGAGCAAATAAGCTCCGTGAGCAAAATACATTCAATGAGCAAGTCTTTCGGGAGCTGTCGACAACTCTCCTAAGAGATGTCGAACTTTATTCTTACGTCGCCAGTCCCCTCGATCTTATGTCAGAGGCCTAGTTCCACAATTCTATCTACCTCTCCTTCCATTGTGGCTCGCCGACCAATCATGGGAAGCGAGGCGTCTGTCATTAATGTCGCAGAGGCAAAAGTGCGGCAGCTTAGAATTACCAGACAACGGGCGCTTGAAACCTTGCATGTAAACCGCGATGTGCGTCGGCTCCGTAATGCGTTCAGAATGGTCTCGCTGCTATTAAACGGGACCTGGTAGAGACAGGCTCTCTGCAGCAGCAGGTTGTTGAAACGCCGACATTCCGCCCTTGGGAGCGTCTCGAGGAATCCCTGCGGCGCGTTCAAGGAGTCGAATCGAGTTTGCCGCCAGAACTTGGACTCTGTCTGGGAGGTGAAGATGCAATGTAGTGTTGCCTGCTCTGGCCAGAGTTGTCCAGGTTCAGCCCTTTGGTGTTTGTCCTGCTCTGAAGTGGCGGGAGAACTACGTTGAGATGTGGTTTGAGGTACCGAGACACGCCAAAGTCAATATAGAAACTGGTCCGTGCCGAACACGCCTGCCTCATTAGTCTTCCCCACAAACCCCGGACACCCCAGTATCAACCATGTGTCTTGGCTTGTCCATCTTGGTCTCAAACTTGTCATCATCGTTGCCATGATCCCCAAGATAGAGTGTGCTCCAGTCGCCATTGTCGTAAATAGGTGTCTAGCACTTTCCAACCACAATCTTGAGCTCCAGATCAGATCCATAAGTTCTACCCGCTGTGTTGCCGAGTTGCAGTAGCTAGTGTGAAATGCCTGAGGTATCCCCATCCTAACCCCGACAAACTAGGTTGCCTCAACCCCTCGTGCGATGTTTCATATCTAAGAATGCTGCAGTAACCACGGCTAAGTCAAACCGAATGTCCCGCTCATTTGCATCGTTTGGGCCCAATGAATCAGTCAGAAGGTGCTTGGGATGAAGTTTTAGCTTTGGAGTGACAGGGACGTTGTGTAACATCTAACATAATGTAAGAGGCAGAATTAAGATGGTAACAGAGAACCTAAGAGGCAGAGAATACCCAAGGTTGGTTAGACAGGCAGTAGAAAATACAATGGTAAAGATGTAAATGTGTAACTAGATAGATCTGGCACCGCCCCTTTTCTCACCTGGAAAAAATTAGTCTAAAATGATAACCACAATGGCTAAACTAGTAAGGGAAATGAGAGTATAGTAGTATAGCTAGCGGTATTTATATTCTTAGTATCGCAGATGGGTTGCGCAAGTGTTGAACTACTTGACACTTTCTCAGGGGTAATTTCAGGGGTAACTCTCAACCTACACCGACCCTTTTGAACTTCTAGTTCGGTAACAGAAGTAGTATTGGGGCAGTAGGTACTTGAAACTCACTGAACCTCCGAGTATAACAAGCTAGTCTGTATATCCTATAGTGGTGAAGATATAAGTGAGTGTCTAGGTAGGTTTGAACCAAGTCAGAAATCCACCCACAATAAGCAACATTCACACTAATAACTTCTCACTATAGCAGAGGAACGGCGTATACTCTGGGAATTCTTCCTGATGCTACCGCTGCTGCGCGATTGTTGCTTTAATCTGTGTAATGGTCGTTGCATTGTCCAGATAATAGAGTTTTATCGCGGTGATATGTTTTCTATGGAGTGGTAATCTCTATGGCGATAAAATTGCGAGTATAGTGGGGGACTTACTTAAAGGCTCCATGATGCATCGCCCTCGCCACGGTCCATTCCCAGGAACTCAGTAACTCCCAGGCAGAGATTTGGAAAGGAGACTCCCTTAGGATATCAGGATGTTCAACTTGCAGGGCAGGAAGCGTTTATGAGCCACCAAGCTGTGTACAATTGGCCCCTGTCTAAGCACCGTGGACAAGCGCCAGCCATCCACTGAAAGAAACAGACCTTTCGTTTGATTTGGTGCAACACCCTCAGTCAACGGTCGACAAGACCGTTGGAACAAATCGCGGCGACCGAGTTCTCAGTCACAGCGGCTTTCGTCACTGCACTTTCTGCAATTACATCCGAAAAAAATAATTTCCTACAACCGGCGTGAAGATCTTGCCACCCCAAACTATAGAGACACAGGCTGACTAGGTACAACTTACTGACCTGATCAGTCACAGGTTGGGGTAGTTAAGACGTCCCCAAGAATTGGCATCCTAGGCTCTCACCAACTAGCGTAGCAAAGGTTAAGGCAAGCTACGAAGCTTAGCGTTATCAGAGTTTCCCTCTCGGCTACATAACAACGTCTTCAAGGTAGGGAGCTCACCATCGCCTGCCCGCTATGTGTAGGCAGACCTAGTCGCAATTCGGTCGAGATCCGCGTCCAAGAAGTCGTCCTCAGGGCAAGGCTCCCATTCGTCGTGACAACCCAGCCATCTGTCACCAAAGACACATCTCGCCTTCATACTGACCAGTGACCGACTCGAGGGCGCTTGGATGATCCCATCCGTGAAGCAGCCCATCCAACATGACGCTTAACTCACCCGCCTGTTGAGCTAACAGCCCGCCATTGCCTAGTTTTTGAGCTAACAATACTTCTGGAGGGCTCTTCCCACGCTTGATGCGACGATGGCCATACCCTAACCAAGGAATCAGAGCATAAGGGGCCCCGGCAGGGACAGATGGGCCAGCATCGTCACCGCTTTATCTTCATTGTGCGTGCTGACGAGAACGCCACGTTCCTGCCCAAGAACGGAGAGCTGTGCGATGTGTTGCACCCCACTTTCCAGTTCAGCCATAGCGCGCGTGCGGCACCCGCAGCGCGTCCAGCACAGCCGCCAGGTCGTCAGCCAGCATATCCAGCGTCGCCGGTTCGTGCTCCAAGGGCTTCCAACTCAAGGAGGATATTAGAGCCGCGGCGCTCGTCTATCCTAGGCTACATACAGCACCAGCTTATAAGGCATACTTCCTCTACATAGCCAAGGTCTCCAACCCCTTCGGTTCAGGAGCCTCAAGTTGCAGCCCTTCGTCCCCGGCTTCGACGCCGACATCTTCGGCGAGCCCGCAGAGAACAAGCCAGCGTGCAGGCACAAGGGCCACGCGGCGTGCGTGATCAACGCAGTTAGCAGCCTCTTGGCAGGCACGGTTGTCACATATCAAAAACAACACCATTGAGATACCTCCACTGCTTTCCTGTCCATAAGCATGCGTAATTAGCACAATTCATCCCTCCTCTCGACGCCGTCAGCCTGCGGGGTCGTCGTTGCCGGCTTGCCACCCCGCGTGGTGCCTCTGCACAACCTAGCCGCCAACACGCTCATGTTCGCCGCTTTATGAATGCCGCCGCGGCCGGCCAAGCTGCAGCCACTTGCCCTTGAAGCCGAGGTAGCCGATGCGGGTCTCGTCCTCGTCGCCGTCGCCAAAGTTGTCCGGCAAGAAAAGGGCCAGGAGGCGGGCGGCAGTCTTTTGGCTAAGGGCCCTTTCCTTCTGAGCCACTTGCTGCTATCGAGCGGTCTGGTGACTGTGAGGAGACGAGTTGCTTTTAACTAAGCCGATACTGGGCTGGCTGACCGTCCTTTTCCAGGTGATCTTATAGTCGGCTTGTGCCGCACACGCCTTGTAGATGTGCTCCGTCGCACCGTAGACCATGTACAAGTGCGCCGTCTTCCGCGCCGTCGTCCGCAGCCTGTCCGCCAGGGGCTGGATCAGGGATGCGTAATGTACATATGACGGCTGCAGCAGCACGCTGCGTGGCGTGAGCGTTGTCAATGGATCGAGCCGCTCGATTATTTCTAACGGCATATTCAAACCAGGCAAGGACCGGACGGGGGTTATATGCGCGCGGATCCTAAGCCTGTGCGGCGTCGAGGACAAGGCTGTCGCGCAGGAGTATACAAGGAGGACGAGCTCCGGAAACTGGCGGAGAACTATGTCCAAGGTGTCCAGTAGGTATTCTAACACGTCAAGTAATGCAACTCCTGGCGATGGGAACAGCTTGGCGGAGGAGGAGCAATGGCAGCTGACTGACTAGAAAGTCAGTTGTTCACAGCGAAAGAAGAACTCTGCACTCTACGCGAACCTAGCCGGAGGCTAGAAAGACGACCAGGACAAGGCCTAGAACAGGAAGTCTAGCCACTCCAGCTGCAGCCCGGCCGCTCGGCAACGCATAGCTCCAGCGCCAGATGCTCCTACCGCAAGTATACCTTGCCAGAACACCCTCGATCCCAGTAGAACTATGTTCTTGACAGGGCTCCCAGGCACGGTTGAGGTGAGTTCGGCATCCACATCCATGTCCCTGATGAAGCCCATCGCCTTCTCCGTTGTAATCCACATGTGATGCCATGCCATTCATCATCCATCACCAGGGCAGGGGATTCTATCACTCCATGCTGTCTAGCCGGCGTTGTCTCTGAGTAACGGCTTCTATTTTGTAGAACTCGACGAACCTGGTTGCTGCAGGCCCTTATCTACATTTTCCCTTTGGTTCGAGCCGGCTGCAACGTGGGGTGAAATCCCTTCTTTCTTCTTCTTCTCCATCGCCTATACTCCCTTGGCTATATCGTGCTGGTAACGACGGCTATACGCCTAGCAATAACCACGGGCCAGCAGGTCATGGTTTCCCAGATTCTTTTGCCCACCGGCTTGTACAACACGTTGATGTAGGCCGGTGAGTCCCCAGATTCCCGTCAGTCTAACTCTCGTGGTGATGGGCATCGCGAGCGGCGTGTCGTGAAGTGCTGACGCCTTGATCGCTCTAGGCATCGTCACTCTTGTTGCATTTGTCTATTCGGGGATGCAAACCCCAATCATGGAGCCGTTCATGCGGTGACGGAAGATAAACGCGGTGATGTCGACGAGTTTGTTCCGACGGTCTACATGAATAAGATTAGGATAGAGTTGAGTAAGGTAGTCTTAATTAGTACTCCAGGTCACCAGGGTGGATAATCAAGCCCTTAGGCTTTGTAAAACGTAGCTCAATGCCGTTCGGCATTCATCGTCACGTTATGTCAAAGGCAGTCGCATGATTTCCATAAAGGCCAACTGCAGTGTTACGCGTGTGAACCCTTGCTGCAGCTCCATGTTCACCAATAGCAAATATAAAACCAGACGCAGCTTGCGGCATAACTAGTGCTTGGCTGGCGGTAAACAGCGGCCCGACTCTTAGTACAAAGTGGTAAACGCCGGGCCGGCGGGCTACGAGGAGTTCTGCAAAGCGGAGCTGTATGGCTGCCTGCTCATATATATCCACGTTCTACGCAAGCCCTCAAAGCAAAGGCCTTAGTGTGGCGCTAAGTCCCAATAAAGAGAGCGATGAAAGCCAGCCAACTGTCTCGTAATGCGATGCTCTGTCTCCACTTAACGGGCTTCCGCAACTGCTCATATGTAACTTGTTCAGCGTTGGATAAATGTTTAAATACACAGATATAGGGAGGGATAGACTCTGTAATGCATAGTGATTATCTTTATCTCTCTTAGAGACGTAAAGATTCGTTCCGCTATTTACCCCTTTACCCCTTTACCCCTTTACCCCTTTACCCCTTTACCCCTTTTACCTATTTTCACATATTTTTAATGCCTAGTACTAGAGAATATCAGGCCTGGCACCTTGGTCGCGATTAATGACCTTGGAAGTCTCGTCTCATTCCTATGGTACCTATTAACATAAAGATGTCGAGAAGGAGGTAGTCAAACCCATACGCTACATACGTCGCCATCTCTCAAATTGTAGCGCAGATCTCCCACCAGGCAACCACCCCTTCCTCCTTCTGTGCAAGCCATTGTGATGTCAGAATCTATGACGGGCGATTGTAGAGACACAGGGAAGAGATAAATCCGCAATGATAGTCAGGAAAAAGGACGGATCAAGAGAACCAAGGAGAGCAGAAAAGTGGCGTTGATGCTGAAGACGCAGATGAGATCTTCGCCGAGGTCCACGATTGGGAGGTACTTAGCTGTTGGACCTGTGAAGAGCAACCTGTGCAGCTGCGGCTTGTCTCCTGCTCATTTTTGGCAGGTCAATGAGCTACCGACAACGCTCTGGGGCGGTCATGTAGTGTCGACAACGCTCTGGGGATTGGAACGGGAGAGGCAAGCGCTATCCCCGTCACCCCTGAATTGGAAAAGTGCCAGGCACGTTTTCAAAGTCCATTCCACTTTCCCCAGGATATTCTCGACATATATGGTCTTGTTCTCGGATATGTTGGCCACTGGAAGCGCGAGTTTGTTGTCCTTTTATCCTGTGAAGGCTATCCCATGTTACCGGCAAGACTAGCAGCAACCCAGCCAAGGCCTAGAAGGGCGTCGACATGGCTGCCTAGGCGCCGAAAGTGATGTCGACAAGATGGGGCCGTTTGTCTGTTCCCTCCAGGTCAAGCCGTACGATACGACAATATAGCCAAGTCGAGAGCGAACATTAGCAGGCCAATAATGCTCAGCTAATTATCGTGTCCGGTGCGATAATGGCGGTGCCTAGGTCGCTCTTGTGAGCGCCAATGGGACATCCTCAGCCGCTCCTGCTTAATCCATTTTGTACGGATTCCGGCGCGACTTTATATTGAACGTCCTTAGGATACCTTCCCCAGCACGCGAGCTGGACCGCCACATCAATTTCGACCGGCAGGTACCGGCGTTCGGAGCGCAGCCAGGGCCGTTGCCCAGGGGGTGTCTGAGTCGATGAGGTAGCTTCGATGGTTGATAAGGGGTGAAACGGGGCTTTATTTGGACGGAAACAATCTGGTCTTGGTAGTTTCCCAAGCAGTTGAGGCAATGGAATTGGCCAATGCCTTGCCCCCAGACCTAGTCAAAGTGAATGCCACGATCCTTGGAGTAACATTCCTTGTTCCATCTGTACCCTAGTCAGAGGACCCCTGCAAACCTGTGAATGTTGGCGTATACATGTTTGCACACTCTGTTTTACATAGAGAGCCACGACACCTTCACCGGGCCCCGTGAAACCTAGAGCCAACGCCACTTACGAACACGGCAAGTCCAGACATAATTACAGCATATCCAGGGGGTTGCCCCAGGGAGCGCCTCCAGAATGAGACCTCGAGGAGGGCCGCGATCTACCCCTGAGCCTCACAGCTACCAGGTCACAGCCGTCCCTGAACCTGCAGGTCTTTTTTCCTCGGACGCCAGTAAGGACTTCCGCGACAGGAGGATATTCGGAAATTGTTTGTGTCTACCCACCTCACTCACCTTCAATGGCCGTGTTAGAAGTGAAATGAGGGTCCGACAACGTCAACCTGTTGGCAAAGACGAGGATTGTATTAGTTGATCTGACCAGACCAGCCCTCGATATAGGCGCACGTCAAACCTCACTCTTCCAACTCGACGACAAGCATATCGAGATAAGGGACATCTCCAAGGTATGCTCGTTATGCGTCCTGCCTGTCGTAGCTCGCAGCCGTCGAGAATAGTTGCTTTTGTAAGTTATCATCGGCAAGTAGAAAGCTTCAAACCATCCTTCTCTAGGTCATTATCCCACACGTTCCCGGAGAAGCTTGAGCATATTTGCCCTCGTTCTTGACTTGTAGTTGGAAGCTCAAAGCTGCTCTTGATAAAAAGCTGCTCTTGATAAATGAACCCGAATCGACGAGACGGTCTTTGAGTGTGGTATGTAAAGAACCCGGTGTGGCCACCAGCACAGAAGCTGATGGATGCCTTAAGCGATGACACACTGCTGCAAGACTGCATCTGTTTACAGGGTATATTAGCAGCTCAGCCGCGGATGCTGTGACTCTTAAAGCCACAGGGGCAAGGGATAACAGCTTTGTGTCCTGTCTCCGGCAGCTGATCATAGCACCCCGACATCGCTCTCGAGCTGCTCATGACCAGATTGTTTGTTCACATTGTTTGCTCATGACCAGATTGTTTGTTTACATTGTTTGCTCATGACCAGATTTCTTGCTCAGATACTACCCAGATGACCCCGACAAACAACTCGACTTACAGTCTCCCATTCTCATGCAGTCAGATGACATCATGTGTAACAGTGTGAATAGCTGGGTATCCTAGTCCTTAAGCATAGCGAGCTAAGAGACGACGACACCTTTGCGGTAATTATACGGATGTATTGACTATCTACCTGCAGGGCGTCGTTGAACGAGTGACAGGGACAATAAATTAAATCCAACGCAATATAGGAAGTAGCAACAAGAGGGTGACGGGAGCTAGAGAAGGTGTCAGTACTCCGAGTATAACTATCAACTCCAGAGGATTTAGTCCGGTCAAACTATGACTTAGTGACCAATCCACCGTCTCGAATATCGACACCGAACGGCTGATGCGTCGGCCTTCTTCGAACCACGAATAGCTGGATAAGGAGTACTTTTGAGCCCCTTTATCCTAGCTTCAACGTCATCATACGTCTAATCCTCAGAGCTCTCCGCGTGTTTTGGCAGCTTCAGTAGCGGCACCGAACAGCAATTCAATGCAGTCTGTATGGACACCCAAATGAGTGACTCGGTGCACGGGGTAGAGCAGGTCAGAAAGAATTTGTCCAAAACGCTGCACACATGGTTGGACCAGCTCGACCTGGTCGCCTGCTTCCATCCATTTGTAATTAGTCGGTAGTTCTGGGAGGTTTAAGAGCTTGGACTCGGACCCGGACCTAGGCGTCCCCGTGGAAGCCATCCGTGACCACGCGGACGTGCTCCGCTGCATAGCCGTAATAATCGGACGGACTTGCACGACGAGGATCTAATCGCATGTTATTCACCTCAAATTTGTCCAGGATCCTCCCCATGGACTTAGTCATCGCCCCGGACCCAAACATTCTTGGTCTTTCAGGCGGTTTAGTGTGATGTTGAGGTTAAACGGCTTGCCCTGCGCCAGGAGCCTGGCCATCTGCCGGAGGTTGCCTCTGCTCTGTTAGCCACGTTTGTTGATCGCGTCGACAGTGTGGTTGGGCCTGAAGCGCTCGTCGAAACAAACGGATAGCCTCACAGATGAACAAGACGGTTATTCTCACGTGTTTCGGTATAGACAGTTCTCCACCGATACGGGAATATCAACCCGTTATCCATGAACTACTCGTGTCAGCCGTCCCTTACGCTACAACTTATTCGGGGCGGAATAACAGAGCACTGGAACCCTCGGTGATCCGCGTCTATGCGGCATTCTCACCCATTTTTCGATACTCATACCTGCATTCCCACGGGCATCACGGTGCTGCTCACCCGCAATACCTAGAGGAAGCTGACGAATTCACAGACTGGATCACCTTCATCAACGACAGAAAGGCCATCGCTAAAGTAATGCCTCAGAGCCCACGCACCATCTTTAAAACTGCTAGTTTTGAGAATGTTAGCCCATGTAATACCGGCGATGTTAAAGTCAAAGATCGCCACACCGAACCTGCAAATTAATGACATTTTTGTTCCGGTCTTCAAGCTAGTCCGTGATATCCGGTTCTCAGTGCCCAGTTCACAGGATGGCAAGGCAGCAAAGTGGCAAACAAAAGAGTCCCCTTCAACTATCCCGTTGGGATGTAGAAGAGAATCCGCCATGCGATCGTCGGCCATCTTGTGGACCGTATAGCCGCATAGATCTCGCTGCTAGCGAGACTGCAAACCTTATCTGTGATGCGGGCGACCTGTTTCTCCGTATCGCAGATAGCATCCGTCTTCGCACTCAGGGGAGATTGGCGCCGAGCAGGAGGGCATGGCCAAGCCCTCATCGACGCACACTACAGCATCCGCGGGGCGCCTTCCTTTTAACAATTTAATTTTAACAATTTATGGAAACCATTCTCGTGGGTAGGACAGATGGAGAGCACACCGGAGCATTCCCAGGCGTGGGGACCTTGGGGTATCATCATGGCACTGACGGTATTTTCTCTTGGACTATTTTGATCTCCAGGCACCTGCATTCGAATGTGATACCGCACCCGAGTGCTGAGGGAACACACCAGACTGCCTCGAGACTCAAACAGGGGAGCACAATGAGTCGTTAAACGCAGGGTAATGACAGTTTGTGTCGTTTCTGCGTATCCAGTTAGGCCAACCAGACCTACTTATCCTCAACAAGGCAACTTGTAGGATCTCATGTCACAGTCTAATCAATTCGTATTCCATCTCTTCTCCAGCTCTTATGTCTCCTAATAGCAAAATTCTCTTAAACGTGCTGGAGGAGACCCATCCGTCGGTATTACAGGCGCAACTTCACACCGCAAACCTGGCGCTCGCCGGCAGTGCCAACCGTTCTAGCAAAGATATTGCCATCATCAGGGTCCATGTCGATGCCGCTCCCGCCGTCATTAATGCTGCGTAGGTTCTCGACTTCTCCAGTCATAACGACTTCTTAGTCCGCTCGCTGCGCTCGGCTGCGCAGGTTTAACAAGTCCGATAGCGTCTCCAGGGCGGCACGTCCTACAGCCTGGGTGAGTACCGGCCCCTTGGCAACCGGGTGGGCAAGCGCTTGCTCATAGTCATCGGCGCAATCGTCTTCGCGGTGATCTCCATTACCACCTCGCGGCAGGACTCACAATTCCAGGGCTGCTCTGAGCAGTGCAGATGCTGAGGCTTGAGGTTAGAAAGCGATAGGTCTGGCGACACTGGTGTCATAGTAGGTACTGGCGTTGTTAGTGATGCTGTGAGTTTGTTGGTGGTAGACTAGGGGGCTGCGAAAGTCAAGTCAAGGAGGGAAAGCAAGATAAGCTAGGAGAGCAGACGAGAGAGCCCTGTCCCCACAGGGATGATCATCCTAACTGACCCCCTAGCGACAACTCTAGTCATGAGCAACCCTAGCCATGAACAAATTTTGGTCATGAGCAACGATGGTCATGAGCAAGACTGTTCATGAGCAAGACTAGTTATGCTGGTTTGGAGTGAAGAGCAACTAACTTGCAGCTTGCCACGACGTTTAGCCTCTCGACGACGAGATCATTTAGAACATTAAAATGGTACTTTGCGAAAGGAGGTCCAAACGGTGGTACCGTTGGAAAGAATTGGTCAAGGAGGAGCATGAGGGTTCCGTGCTGCCTCGCAGGATCAACGACCGGTTCTAGCTGGGGGGGCCAACGGACGTGCCTGGGTTCAAGCTCGGTGGGCTGGCTGATCCGCCTTTGCCATGGTCATGCTAGTTTCAAGTGGGTGTTAGGATGACATCGCTAGAGGAGCACGGGGCTGTGGACACCTGTGGGCTGCACAATAACCGCTAATTCTTCTCCAACCTCGAAAACCCCCTGGTCTCACCGCGGCAACTGGCGCAAGATGATCCCCGACGGAACAGCGAAGCTGTTCCACAGGTTCGGCCTCCAAACTACTACCAGCCTTCCGTTCCCTCAACTCGGCGTCCAGGTGCTTGCGGACGACAAGGGGTGGACTCCTAAGTTTGAACCAGCCCAGATCGTCGCCCTTTTGGTTAGAGAGAACTGGCTTTGGATAAGGTGTAGTTGGTAGCAACCACGATGACCTCCTTGCAGAGGTATGGCACCACCACGGCCACGGCAAGGTTCCTCCACAGGTCCCCGGCCCGCGGTATCCCGCCGGCACGCGCCTTCCCCCGCCGCTGCAAGCTCGCCCCAGAACTCGCCGAACTGCGCCGTCGTCGCCGCCGTTGATAGTGTTCCAGGTCTGGGTCACGAACTTCTCCATCGGGCTGAACAGCGCGAGCACTTCAGCCTTCTTGTGCGCCGGCACGCCATTGTCGCAGGCTGCGTCCATCTCAGTCGCCTGCTCGCTGGCAGTGGCCGCCATCTGACCATTCCCGGCGGCGGCGAGATTGATTCAGAAGAGGAGCGCGAATTCCAGGACCAACGACCCTTCATAAAACGACCCTCGACTAGGAGAAGTACATAAGACTCACCCCGATTTGGGTATACTACGTAATCTGCGTCCTAGTTCTTGGATCTGGCGTGCCTCCCAGAATGTCGACGAGGTTATTGTAGAACAATATGATATCGTGGGAGGTGGTATTAACCCCTGAGCTTTTGGGGTCTGTCATTAGCAGGCTATTAAGAGACAGCGAGCAAGTGCTCGGACGTAGGTGCCTTATCCGAATTGCTCCTGACTTGATCACTGCCTGTTAGGTCTTGCACGCCACGAAGTCCATAGACCACATAGCCCTCCCCCCCACCGAATATTTCCATTCCTTCGAGGTCGATGCCCCATTGCAGACGAGCTGGTGTCAGACTGCAGGCGGGCCGAGACCCCTTCTAATCTCTCACAACGAGGTCCTGACGCTCCCTTTCGCTCAAGACGGTCATCTCCTCCTCGAGGCTCTTGCCGTCTTCCTCGTCGACACCATCAATGGGAGCGAGATTGCCCTCGTCTTCAGGCTCGGCGCCGGCCGGTTGAAGGCCGACCCAACCCGCGAGATCCTGCGGAGCATGTGTCTCGGACAGTCTGTACCTTGACAGCAGGGGGACGAAGGTGAGGGTCGAGGGAGGACGTCAGACCTTCAGCTCCTCTATCTTCTGGAGAAGCCACTTCTCGGGCTCCAAAACAGCCTCGCCAAGCTCCAGCATTCTCGCCCAACAGCCAGTCACTGGCCATCATTACAAGCCAGACCGTCAGGCTCTATGATATGGTGACGGGGGCTTTGGATAGACACTCAAGGGTCCCAAGCGGGCCAAGGCAAAGGGCAAGGGTGCAGGCCGGAAAACAACAAGGTAGCGCAGCTCTGCGAGGACCTAGCCTGCGAGCTGACCAGCCTGATGGGTAACGTGATGTACCTGCGCAACCCCACGTAAGCCAACTACGTGGACTTCCTCTGCTTGCTGACGCTGTGCTACAAAATCGAATACCCCTGCCTTCACGCAGACGCAGACAGCCCTGCAGTCTAGGCAAAACATCGTCTGCATGTCTACAGACCAGTTTAGAACCAGAGGCGCGACTCAGCCCTGCTCACAATCTTGACAATGCCTCCCTTAACCTCCCACGCCACTCCAATGGCATGGCTTGCACTTCCTGTCAACATCAAACAACCTCTAGAGGATGTCGTCAGATACAGCTCAGAGAAGGAGGAGGAGGCGTACTAGGGCCTCAGCTACGTTCCCTGCCAGACAGTAAGGCCCAACTAGGCGCTAATAGTGTTAAGAGCCGCCAACAGGGCCGACAAATGTGACAGCTGCCATAAAGGCTGCAGGTGATTTACACGCCTGCTGCCTTCCTTAGATGTAGTAGCCAGCCCACAGCTCCTTCAATCATATGCATAACCCTGTCTCGACGCCGCAGCCGCAATCAATCGTGTCTCCCAAGCAGAGCAGTAACATACCCACTCCTATGGGTGTGACCAGCTCCATGAGCGCGACAACTCCTAGAGAGGACACATGCGCAACCAAGCCTAATGCAGACACAAGTCTCGTCAACTAGGTTGTTTTGTCATTTCTGGCTTTTTTGCCTAAGCTTTTTAAACTAGGACTAGCCACCAGCGCCGCCTAGGTTGCCGTAAGCACCGCTTACGCCTCCATAACCACCTCCTCTGTAACCGCCGCTGTGTCCAGAGCCAGGAGGCAGCCGGCCACCAAAGCTGCCGCCGCCGCCGCCGCCATAGCCAGAAGATCGCCAAAGCCGCCACCACCAAAGTCACCGCCGCCACCGCCAGCGCTGCTTCCGCCATACTTGCGGAAATCGCTGTTTGTTCCGCAGCCACAGCCGCAGCCAGCCAGGCAGCCGCCCCAACCGCCACTAACACCTCAGCCAAGCAGCCCTCCTCCTCCTTTAGGCACTCTGTTGGCAGCATGTACAGGTACATCTACGTCATGAATTGCCCAGACGCCATATTAGCCAGCATCACCCACCGCGTAAGCAGCACCAGCCCATCCAGATCATCGCCATCTTTCTCATAGCACAGACCCGCCTCGTCCTCAGGGCTCAGAGTAGACTAGACAGATATTAGTTGCCAGTAGCCAAATCGTCATCATCTATAAAAGGATTATTATCTGTCTCCTACAGTGCTATCAATGATTCATCTTCCCTATTGTGGCATTCAGGGCAAGATTTCCCTACGTCAGGCTCAAGCACAGTAGGGACAGGGTTATAAGCCAAGGTAGCCAAGAACCAAGTCCCAGAGCTAACATTCGGTGATAGGAAGGGCAAGGTCAGTATCCCTGGCCATGATCTCAAGATTTTGGCCAGCCAGGGGCATAAGGACCCCCGCGACAGTGCTAGGATTCTACAGCTTTAAGTTTCTAATGACGACAGCAAGCAATGGGACGACTAGAAAAGGAGAGCTTGAACCGTATCCTTCAAGTTGGCAGCCAAGATGTTCAGCCTCCATTGAGAAGCATATCGCAGAGGCCGACGGTAGGGACCTCGTCGCCAGCATGCAGAATAATTGTGACTCTCAACATGGGCGTTGTCCAGGTTGGCTTGCGCACAGAAGATGCAGCAAATCTGGTTATTCTCTAGATTGATTGCCCAGCGTCCAGGCTAAAGTTCGCGGCTCGGTTCTGCAGCGCAAAGCCGCACGCCCTATAGATGATGCAGGTGCCAAAGCCATGCAAGGCATAATCTTCCTCAAGAAAAGCCACAGGCATTCATTAACGCTATGCCTAAGGTGGCTGATCTGAAATAACAGGCAGCAGCCTAATGCTAACCAGGAGTGCAAGATAGATTACCCAGGGTAAGACAGCAAGCAGCCTCATTTTGGCCCAGTGCTAGGGTAGCAGCGCTTAAGCCAGCTCAGTTCGCCCCTTGTCACAATCCATAAGGTTCTCTCTTGCGATAGATAGCAAGAGGAGGCTACTCTAAAGGAGCTGCCCAGGCCTATCGGCAACTTCAAAGTCATTCAATTCGTAATTACTTCACGCCAGTCTCTAAACATGCCAAGAATTTGCAGCAGCCAGAAGAGCATTCAATGGTAGAGAGGAAAGCAAGAGGAACAAAGGCAAAACCACTCGTCGTCACTTCCTCTAAACCACCATAGAAGTCTCTTGAGAGCCTTGCAGGTCTTTTCCACAACCTGCCTAGAGGTAATAGCGTCCTCCTTGTCAGCTACTCTCCCTATTTCTGCTGTCAAGGGCATTAATAAGAAGGCCTTAAAGGCTACACCCCAGGAATACATCCAAGATTCTCTTACAAAGCATGTCCCAACCACTCTCCAAACCCAATGCAGACACATGCAGCCCCAACTAGCCCTAACGCACCAGTTGTACAAACCAGTCCCTTGGTTGGCAATTGCTCAGGCAGCCCAGACAGGGCCTAGGGGATGCACCGCTAGCGTGTACTGAAAATCGCGGTACACGACATCCGCCTCGGTGTATGTCTTAGTCTGCTTCACCTTAGGGAAGTATTGCAAGTGCAAGGGGTAATTAGTAGTCTCAAGACAAAAAAAACAATTCCTGCTTTGGTTTGACAGACAACCTTCAGGCTATACTAGCTATATCTTCTTGCAGCAGGCTGCTTGTCATACTCATACGTGAGATCCATCTTTGTTATCTTATGACTCTCAACCTGGTAAGATCAGTACAAAACCAGTTCCACAGGCTCCAGAGACTGAGTTTGCTAAGCAACCTTCAGTAGGCGACAGGGACAGCCTCGGCAAGTTTAGAGACAGGACAGATTCGTTGGCAGCGCAGAATAATGCATTGCAAGTCGACGTCGCAGACAAGAACCTCTCTTCCTCAGTTTTGTCATCGTCGTCCATCTAGGACAGGCTAGTCCTCCTCGACATAGGCTCTCCATAATCCAGACCGACAGCTATCGTTGAGAACATAACAAGCAAACAACTCAAGGCTTACTCGCTCCCCTTGCGCATTGAGAAGATCACCTCAAGATCAACCCCGCCACAAGGCCATTGTCTAGGGACTCGTGAAGGCCCATTTCCTAAAGAAGTCCAAGGAGAAGACAGACAGCATGGGACAGCTCACGCTCGACCAGATCCAGGGAAAGGGCAAAGGCTTGTTCATCCTGCTTTAACAACTATTAAGCTAGATTTAATCTATAAACTAAAAGACTGTCCCCCAGTAGATTAAGGAGCGTCATCTCTAAAGGACTGTCCCTAGATAACAGTTGGAGATATTCTACATTACCTAGTTGGTAACTAAAGTTAGAAAACACAACACAAAGCTGCCGACGCCGAAGAAGACGTCGCTGTCCCAGAGGTGTCCAACGACTAATAGTTGCCCACAGTCCCTCAGCCAACAATAATTAGTCAAGGAAGCAAGGAATCGCAGAGATGACCATGATGGCGCCTTGCTCGACATTGATGGCAAGCTCAAGGCAGACACGCCATTCCCACACTCCTAGTATAATTTCTATTGCCACCAGAACATCTTAGTCTTCTTCAGAGTCTTCAAGCGCTATAAGGTCATGTTAACTTTTACACACCAAGACACAAGCAGCCTAGAACACTTGTAAAGTTTCATGACTGTTTAAAGAATAAGCTACCTTGCCAAGCTAACGACAATGCCAAGGAAGAGTAAGACATTGAAGAAATTCGCAACAATGCTAAATTTAACAGCATAAAGCATAATCTTGTCAAGTAGACTAATCCCAGCTCTTCAATCAGCAGTCCACCGCCTGCCCATGACAGGGTCACGACAGCACCAGAGTCTCAAGTTGTGGCTAGGACAAGAGGTTAGCAGCTCCGTCAGCTTGGGTATAGAAAGTGATGACGACGTCTCTGGTGGAGAGATAGGCTTGGATAATGTCCCGAGTGGCAGAGCTAGACGCAAGGGCTTGTTAATTCCCCCAGCGTTTGCCCTTGCAGCTCCCTAGTACAAGAACCACAAAAGTCCCTACATGCGTCCTTGGCTCCTCAGCTCTAGTCAAGACAAGCTCAAAAGGTTAGGTTGTGACCAAAGAGGTAGGTTGTGGAAGCAAAGTATTCAACTAGTGAAAGTACTGCTATAAGCAGTAGAAAGGCAGGAAGT